CACATAATTTTGTATTTGTTATTTCATTAAATTTAATTATAATAATTCTAAAAATAAAAATAATAAAAACACTCGTTTCTATATGCTAATATTTAATTATTCTTAGGAAAATATCGGAATCCACGACCATGTTAAGAATTGGTCCTTTTACTATAACGAAAACGGAAGGAAACATTCAGCCAGGAGAAATAGATACTATAACAGTCGAATGTTATCCGGAATGTGTGGGTTCTCAAGAAGAAGAAATAATAATTCGCGTGCCTGATACTATTCCCGAAGACAGAAAGGGCAAATTAATCAAACTATTCGTTAATTCCTGTGTACCTAGCGTCGATTTGCAAAATCTCGACGCTATGTTCCATGAAAATCACATTGTGAACTACATTGAGGATTTTATTTGTCCAAAAGAGGTACCTTAAAATATTTCCAGTAGCTTATCTTGTATTCAAAGTTCAAATAAAGAGATGTTTTTTCTTTGTTATACTAGATCGGTGCACATACTGTATTTGTGCGTCAAGAGAAATGTTTGTACTTTCGTTACGTCAGCGTGTCACACACTCACACGGCATATCTCGTGCTTTATAATCGAAACGTAATACCTGTTGATGTAGAACTGATCTTACTCACAGAATCATTTGCACCAAAAACTGTAAAGCCCATCTTTGTGCTGACACCCAAAAGAGAATGTATTCCGCCGATGAGTCATACAAAATTCGCAATTTCGTTTAATCCGATATTTATAGAGGTAACATTTATATGCGTATATGTAATGTGTATAATGCAATTTTAATAATTAACAATGTGTATATAATATTTAAATTTTAAATTTAAATATTAAATATAATTGAATTAATATTGTTAATATTTGCATTTTAGCTGTTTTATATTTAATGTTATATTCATATTTTATATAATCACAGACATATTATGCAGTCTTCGAGATTGCAGTTGAGCTTCCCCCGCATTTAAGAAATGAAAAGTTTTTCGTGAAATTAATAGGACAAACTTGTGTACCACAAGTGACAATAATAGAACCACCCAGCGGAAAACGAGAACAAATTGTTCTAAACTTTGGTCGTACTCTTGTAAATGATTCTAATGAAAAGAAATTCACTTTTAAAAATGTCGGTGTAATTTCAGCTAAAGTGATTGTTGAGATTTATGAGAATTCAAATTTTCTTTTCACTCTCAGTACTTGCGATATAAGAAATTTATCAAGTAGTTGGGACTATGATGTCGATAGTTAGTTTCATTTTCTCATAAATTAATTAATAGTAATTTAAAAAAGAAGTAAATTCTTTGCAGAATAAATTTTATAAAAATTAAAGCTTTAAAAAATTTCCAAATATCTATATAAACAAATTATATTTTTATATCCATCTTTTATATAATTTTTCCAATTATATAAACTAAGATTATTTAAAATTATTAATAAATCTTTTTCGATAGGAAAAATAACTTTTTAAAAATATGATATAATTATTTTAATGTCTTTAATTTGTGTAAAATCTTTTATTATTTTTCAAAAAAATTTAGTTTTAAGAAGAAACTGAAAAAAGATAAAATATTATAACATGACAAGATAATTTTAGTAATCCACAAAGAAATAGATTACTTTTATGTAATATGTATAAATTATTATTAAATTACAGTGTCAAATGATCGATGCATTGTAGTTCGTTTAATGCCCGAAGAAAAAATCTCGTTCAAAGTAAAATTTATTCCGCAAGAAATCGGCAACTACGAGGGTCAAGTGCGACTATTCATCACCGATAATCCTTACGAAAATCTCATAATAGATTTGAAGGGCGAAGCGTACGCAGAATCAATTGTGTTAGAGGGGCTAGAGCTCACAAATATAAAGCTTAATTCTACCAATGAAAAACGGGAGTCTAATATCAAATCGCGAAAATCGTCGAAGCCAAATAGTACAGTGGGAGGTAATAAAATAGCGAAAACAATATATACACAAGAGAAAACACAATTAGATACAAAATTATTAAAATATTATTAATTTTTATTATAACTTTTACCTTGTGTTTATCATAAGTTAATATCATTAATTTTTTTCAATGAATTTTTGTCAAAAATATCAACCTTGAAATATTTCCAATTTTGTAAAAATTTTATAATTTATTGCATTATAACTATTTATTAATTTACAATATTTTTATTAATTTCTCTTTTAATAAATTTTTTTTAAGTGCAATTTTTTCTTGGCTGTTTTTATTTGTGATTTATATCTTACAGCTTTAACGCCGACAACGCTCCCGGTTTCATTGGCTTATAAATTGGATTATGGATATTGCTTTGTCAATAAAATATATAGAAAAAGTTTCAAAATTGTCAATAAATCAGTCAATCGGTATTTACGATTTCAATGGAATACACATCCCAATATTGTATTTACTCCATCTATTGGTCATCTCCAACCCATGACTCATAAGGAAATCATTGCGACATTTCTTTCTTCAGAGCCAGCGAATTATATCGATGTATAAATTAACAAATTTATAATTCTGTCAACTACCACCAATCAATATTTTTAATTTGCATTTATGATAAAAATATTTATTATAAATATGTATTTTTTTAACTTACATATATTCCTTGAGACTTCTTTTTAAAAAATAGATTTTGATTGAAAATAAAATGTCAAAATTTTATTTAAAAAGTCATATTTCTGTATCATACATCTGTATATTAAATATATCAAGTGGTAGTTACAGATTTCTTTATTTGGTATTGTTGCACATATATAAATGGATAATTAACAATAATTTACAGACCTGTGTTGATTGCACGATCTGCGCAGTCGAACTCGTTGATCCTTCGAAAGAATCGTCTTGGGATGATCGGGAGACAGAAGTGCGATGGATGACAATGAATATTGACGATGAACAAGAAATAAATGTAGAAACATTGATAAAAAAAGTCGTTGAGCCCGTTAATGAGCCAAGCCACGAAATTGTATCTGGTACGACGAAATGCATACAAGTATTACTAAACGCGATCGTGGCATTCTCCAAGTACATTTGTTCCGTTAAGGAGATCAATTTTAAGGACTCGTTAATGTTTCAGGTAAATTACAATAATGAATTATATTATTTATTTAATTTGCCTTTAAATTAGACTATGATTATGTCAATATAATTAGATTTTTATGCGTAGCTATGTTGATAGTATAATTTGTATTTTTTTGATTGATTTTAAAATAACACAAATAACATTTAAAAAAGAATTAAATTATAAATTAAATTAATATATATATATATATATATATATTTTAAGTATTTATTAAAATTGCTCCATATATAATAAAAATTTATTTATACAGACATATAAAACATAAAAACATATAGAAACTTTTGACTTTTTCTTTCAATACTTGTAAAAGTTTTTAAAAAGTATAACAATATTTTAAATTCTTCATTTTCAATTTATACCAATCTTTATATTCTGTATATAGTCCATTTATTAGTTTATCCACTAAAGATTAAAGGAAAAATTATCAAAATTAAACAAATCATATATAGTAGGCCAACTGAACGAGCAAATAAATAAGGTGTAAAAATTTTATTAATAGTTAAATAATTAAATAACATTCCGTTACAGAATCGATATAAATTGTAAACGTTTCGACTGCACTACAGTCTTTATCAATACATAAAAGTTAAATATTAAATACAAAGTTAAATGTTAAAAATACATTGGTATTCAGACTTCGCAACAACACTTGAAATATCGGGAAAAGGACTTGTTAAAACGATAATCATGCTCAAATGTCGCATAACTTGGCATCTCAGACCAATCGCCTTGCATATCTATTGGTCAACAGCGAAGAATCGTTTCAATTTTATATTTTATATTTAACTAACTTTGTATTTTTAACATTTAACTTTGTATTTTATTTTTAACTTTTATGTATTGATAAAGACTGTAGTGCAGTCGAAACGTTTACAATTTATATCGATTCTGTAACGGAATGTTAATTTAATTATTTAACTATTAATAAAAAATTTTACACCTTCTTATTTGCTCGTTCAGTTGGCCTACTATATATGATGTTTAATTTGTTAAATTATACGAGCCTTTCATTAATTAAGAAAAATTATCAATTTATCCACTACAATTATATAAATCTTCGATCTAATTATTTAATAAAAGTACAGAAGAAAAATTATAAATAATTTTGCAATCGATCGTTCATGTTGAGTTTAAATATTTATTCATAATAACATGGGGATTTCCTGAATTGGCATGTCCGTGAACAGACGTAAATATCACGGAACTCTAGCGATAAAATGCAGACTCTGTGATTTTATTATCAAATTCAATTCTGGCTGTTGTTTATATGCAAAAATAAGAATAATAGCTCCACTCGCCAACAGCGAGTTAGTCTACCAATTTTCGATTGAAATATAAATCTTTTATATACGTAAATAAAATTCAGTTTTTTCAGCATTTTTGATATTGAATTATATATATATATATATATATATATATATATATATATATATATATATATATATTTTCGTGTATTTATTTCGATAAAATATATTTTGAAAAGATATTTAAAAGATCTATTGCCAGAGCATTAGTCTTATTACGTATATTATTTATTTATAATATGTATAATATAATATATCGTAATATATTATTTATATTACGTAAAAAAATATAATCATACATATTGATATATTTTTAAAAATTATTTGAGAAAAAAGAAATGATAAACAGAAATAATAATGCAACAATACCAAACTATCACTTAAATATCACTTGATAACTGACATTTTTCAATATTTTATATGTATATATATATATAATTTATATTAAAAACTAATAATTATAGTTAAATATATTTAATTATTTTTGAATTAATTTTTGTTTTACTTATATAATTTTAATGCTTTATATTTTTATATATAATATTTATTATTTATATAAAAAATATCAGTTATCATAGTTTGAACCTCCGAAATAAAATCACTCACCGATCACGACCATCGGTTTACAGCAGCTCCTGTAAAAATTATATATAATATTATTATTTTAATAATTTATTTATATAATTCTCCTTATACAAAAAATTTAATGTATGTATATTATAGATATTTGCAGTTTGAAAATAGATTCTAATTTTATTATCGAATTTCTGTAAATAATTGATTGAGTTAAATTAAATCTTTACGCGATTTTATAAATAGATAAATAGATAAATAGATAAATAAATTTAAATAGCTAAATAGTTTTCTTATAAATATATATCCCATTTTATTCGCATATAATTCACTTTTCATTAATTAAATAATTTTTCATTTTGAAGAATAATAAATTAATTTTATATAAAGTTAATATATTAGAGTAAATAAATTGCTATTAAATTAATTGACTCACCAACCGTGATTGTCAGCCTTAATATCCCTTTGTAGATGTCATCTTGTCGGGACTGTGCAGTTTCGAATCCACGATGAACCTTCATACATGTTCGAATAAAAGTACAACTAATTACCGCGCACAACAATTAACACGACACGATTATCGCGCGATACTTTACTCGGCAATCCAAATCCGATAACGGATTTCCCGTTATATACGGCACTACACCTTCGCGAGAGAAAATTCGACATTACACAATCGCGACATTTTCACGACATTCTACGACGCGTTTGGCGAATATCGCGAGATAAATGCCGTCACGCAGTTTAATGAAATTCCAACGGCATTCCTGACATTCAAGATTCACGATGCGCGATACGCACTCCCGACAAGCATTAAATTCAACGAGAGATACCACGTTTAAATTACTCTGCGTGCTGTACTATTTCGATGCTAATTTACGCGAGACTCATCTTTGTCCTCCCTGAAATAGCAAAAGGCATGATGTAGTATAATATTATAGATGCATTTATCCGCCACGAATAGAATATCATAAAAGTATCGTTATTATAATGTAATCAAAACGATAAATGAGACGATATATATTAATTGCATATTTGCGAGGGAAAATGAACGACGCGCCTGCGCAATCAACTTCTCCCCGACTCTCGAGAAGCTATCTTTTCGCGGCTCGAATATTGCAAGGAAAGAACTAATTATCCGACAGGCGCGTCCTAGAATCATTGCTTGACCGTGTATTTAATGTTCCTAGTGTCTATTTATGTCAAAACACTACTTGCGGCGGATAAATAACGTAAAAATCGCGGAGCGTCCTCGAGCGTGCTTCGACGTTGGAGTTCGGCACCTTCGACTGCGCTCGGTCTCGCTCGGCTCGCTTCGGCTTTCCCCCAATACCTCCACTTTTGGCGCCAAAGCGCAACTTCGCGCACTTTGTCTCCGCACCTGAAAAGCCGCAACGAATGGTCTGATTATGGGTCGAATATTGCGGAGAAATCACTCATTATTGAATATACGCGTTCAATAATCACTGCTTGACAGTTCGTTTAATCTATCGAATGTGTATTTATATGCGAAACTTACTTGTGACCGGTAAATAAGGTGAAATTGCGGAGCAACTCTGGCTGCCCTTCGACACGGAGCGTTCGGCACGTTCGAGTATCTTCGGCTCCGCTCGGCCTGCTTCGGTTATCCGCGAGTCTACGGAGACGCTCTTAAGGCGTAATCACACTACAGCTTGGTTGCGGTTGAAATAGACCAATCAGAGTACAGCAGGTTGTCGACTGTGCCGACTGATTGGTCAATTCTAACTGCAACCGAGCTCGCAACCCCTAATGTGATTACGCCTTTATATCGCTTCGAGCAGCGTTCTTAAGTATCCCAATCATGCATCGTTTATCATTGCTCATTAAAAAATTAAACAAAGACAGAGATGACACTTGCGAATAGTAAGTAAAATATGCAGTCTATTGTATGTACCATATGTATGTATGTATATGTATGCATGTATATGCATGTATGTATGTATGTATGTATATATGTATGTATGCATGTATGTATATATGTATGTATGTATATATGTATGTATATGTATATGTATATGTATATATATTTTGTCACTGTGCATAATATAGACTGCATTTTACTTACCGTTCGCAACGCTCACAAATATCATCTCTATCTTTGTTTAATTTTAATGAGCAATGACCAATATATAATTGAGACATTTAAACATAATGTCGTTGCGATTCTAAGATACTCAAACGTGCCAAAATGCTCCGTAATTTTCACATTATTTATATACCTGTCACAAGTAAGTTTCGCATATAAATATACATTGGATAGATTGAACTGTCAAACAATGATTATTAAATGCGTATATTAAATAATTCTCTGCAATATTCGATCCACAATCAGACCATTACGGCTTTTCGAGATGCGGAGACAAGGTGCCCGAAGTTACGCTTGTTTGGCGCCAAACGAAGAGAGGAGGTATTGGAGAACAATTTTCACGTTATTTATTTGTCGCAAGTAAGTGTTTTGCATATAAATAGACATTAGGAACATTAAATATATGGTTAAGCAATGATTATGGGACGGGCCTGTCGAATAATTATAATTATTCAAAGTTCTTTTCTTGCAATATTCCGCGAAAATATGGCTTCTCGAGAGTCGGGGAGAAGTTGATTGCTTTAGTTATATTAGTTAATTTATATATGCATAAGATAATATTATATATTATATGTTAACGTATAAAATTACTCGCTTGTTTATAGATTAATTATTTTCTCAATTTTTACAAAATTTAATAATGTACAACAAAATGTAATTAATAATTTTCCATTAATAGACGCGCGAATATGTATTCACTTTATCGAATACTGGCACTGTCGATGTGGAATACATTTGGCAAATAAACATGGACGAGCAGTATCCGGTGAGATTGACTACACATTATTCACGATCTACGCCAAGGTCACGAGGAAATATTCAATCTAGAGCTAACTCATCTGTATATCCATTTCACGAACATCGTCAGCGACATAATCCAAATTATGCGAGGACAGAAATCATCGAAAACGTAAAATCAAATCATCAACAGGCCTTATTATCTCAAGGTTTTAATTTAATTCTATCGATTCTAATTTATTGAGATTTTCAAGTAGAAAAATTATATTAATCCAGATATAAAAATATTTTTTAGAGAATATTATCGAGGTAAAATCAAGTGTTTGTCACTGCGGTCCATCCGATCTTTTTAGCAGCAGCGCCGGGTTGACTGAGAGAAGTAGTGACAGCTGGTTAGAAAGTGATGACTTGCCATTTGGAATTTATCCTGAAAAGGGAACTTTACCACCGGGTGAATCTATGGAATGTACTTTGCGATTCTCTCCCCTAGATGTGTTTGATTACAAAGCTCATCTTACTTGCAAGTACGAGAATCACAGACTCACACAATCGCTATTCATTCGATTAATACATTGTTTAATTTAATTATTTCGTGTTTTTATCTAGATTATACTAATATGTTAAATATTTTATATGAAATTAATGATTTAATTTATAATATAAATAATTTATTTAACGTAAATTTAAAAAAAGAGAGTAGATAATTGATTTTCGTATATTCCTCTTTATAAAATATCAATCCGAAAATAGTTTGGTGAATCATAATATATTCGTTTAGTCATCAAAATTATTGTATTGTGTGTATAAATTCTTGACTATTTGCACTTCTGTTTATTTGTGTGAATAGAATGGAGAATCTCGATCCGGAGTTGTCAGAACTGATTATTCCTATTGCGGGAAGAAGTTTGTTACCGTATTGCCATTTCGACATACCGGAAAGCAACTATCTATCTGGTGATAGACGTGACGCAAAACTGCCAGGACCAATCAATCACTATTCCGTCGATGGATCTCTTCCGCAAGGTACGAGAATAATCGAGCTGAACGTGGTCGGAATCGGTGACACTCATGTAAAGTGAGCATTAAATTTAAACAAATATATATAAAATCAATTGTATATCGCGCATAAATATTACATTTGTTATTACACGAATTTTAGAAAATTTCGGATGATAAATCCAACATCGGACGATTATCACTTCGCCTGGAAAGATCGAACTCGTCACGTTGAAAACGAGATACCGAAATTCCATTGCGTACTTCCGGAAGGAATCGCTGAGCGAGGGAAGCAAGTTGATTTCGCCTTTACGTTCCTCGCAGAGGACATTGGTATTTTCGAATCCTTCTGGTTATTCTCCATCGAGAAATATAACTTGGAATGTCTCTTCCTGTTCGTCGCGATGGTCAGAGAACCATCAGTTTGCTGCTCGGTTGTTTATCTGAAAATGAAACCAACCGTATTAGGTAAAAGATAAAAATAGAAAAATTTAGAAATATATATAATTTTATATTTGCGCGTCTTTTTTATGTAGGTGTTAATGTACGAGAATCGATGAGCATAATCAACAACGAGGAATTTCAGCTTTCCTTTCATATCGTACGGGACTCTTTGTATTCTGAAGGGCGTGTTCAGAGCTTGAAAATAATGCCAATGAACGGCATTTTAAATTCAAAAGACAAACAGATTCTTTGGTAAGTAAGAAAAACAATGATTTTGAATAATAAGAATTTTTCGTATAATGTTTAAATTGTACTTTTTACAATACAGGATCGAATACCAGCCTACATTTATAGGCGAATTTCAATTTTGCATAAAATGCATCGTGAAAAAGTTGAAGACACTGTTGACTGTATTTGTTACAACAATTACATATGATATTATCGTTTCGGTTACATATGTAAATCAAAGTGACCAAATTGTACAATTAAATCAAGACGAAGAAAATATCATCGACTGCGGAAAAGTATGTATTAAATTATTTTACTGAAAATTTAAAAAGAGTAATTTTAAAAGTGATATATATATTTTTACATTTAGATAATGTTAAAAGTGCCCTTCACTATTACATTTGAAATAATAAATTCAAGCAAGATGGCACTTCATTATTCTTGGGATCTCGGCATGACACCAGAAATAATCAGCAGAAATATGTATACAATTACTATGCAACATAAGCAGGGTCGCGTGGTTAGCGAATCATCGTCTAATTGTTGCCTAATTATTACGGCATTACGAAAAACGATGATAAAAAATCACCCCATTTTCTTGAAGGTATCATTCATTTAAATTACATACATTTAAATATTTAATACAATGTATTTTTTTGTGAAAAGAGATGTTACAAATTTATTTTTATATTCAGATTTCTAGAGGACCTACATATCGGCTAATCTTACGAGCGACTGCAAATAAAACAGTTTTGGAATTCAGTTTTAATCATTATGACTTTGGATCTTGCTACATACGAGACATCACAGCACCTGCGTATTACGTCGATTTACGTATCACAAATCCAGACGATGTTCCATACATGTAAGTTATTGTAATTGAATATAAAAAATTAAGATTAATGAACAAAGCAATTTCTCACACAGATTAGAGTGCAAATTTGAAGAGAAACCACACATCTCCGTGAATCTTGACGCTCTTTCAGAGTCAATAGCTTCTCGATCAAGTATCATTATTCCAATAAAGTTTCGTCCTCTACAACAGCTGCATTATCGCGATAATTTACATTTTATAATCAATTCGACGGTCGAGAAAAATATTATTATAACTGGCGAAGGAATTACATATAAAGTACATTGTCATGTTTATAATTAACATATGTCTATTAGAAATTAATTTAATTCTATTATTATATTGTGATAGGTTCATTTAGTAAATCCGCGCGACAAATTGATAGATCTTGGCAATTTATCGATCAATAAAGCGATCATCAGAAAGGTGCCGGTGATCAACAATGGTCGTGCTCCGCTCGAATTGAAGTTCGGTCTCATAAAGAATTTACCGGGATATGAGCAATTTTGTGAACGAATTCAAGTGTGTCCAAAGAAGATCAATGAAGAGAACAAAATGGATCACACTCGAGCATCAATTACTGAAACAAAACGTTCAGATACGTGTGACGTGACTCTTCAAACGATCGAACCCCATCTGTCCGAAGTTCTTGAGATCGAACCAGCAGAATCGATCGTACTTCAATCGACAAAGATCGTAAATGTTGTTGTGAAGTATAAATCTATGCGAAGAATGCGTCCTTTCTTCGCTAAAGTAGCTTTTCAAACCAATTCCACAATTCAGCCATTATTTATCGTGCGCGGAAGTTGCATAGGAGCGGAATTCCGACTGAATAGAACTTGTATTCCTTTCGGTATAATCGTTCAAGGTTGTTTCAGTGAGGCAAAGGTAGTGCTATTGAATACAGGAGACATTGGTGCTAGGTTGGTGTTATTATAGTAAACTATTGTTAATTAATAATAACAAAAATAATTAAATATTATATTATTAATATATATAAGATCTTTTATATTCATTTTTAGAAATTAGGGGACTATTTTTTAATGTTATTCTTTTCTTTTTTTTTTAAATATGTTTTAAAGTTTTTGTATATTTATTTTAGCAAATTAATTATCTTTACTTTTTATATAGTTTTTATTCGTATATATTATAATTGTAATTTTCATAGATTTATAATTAATATAACGCATAATATTATTTGAATTTATTAATGTCTCATAATATTATAATCTAATAATTCAGATTCAAGTGGAACACGTCGAAATTGCCACGAGATTTTAGCATTGCTCCTGCGACTGGCTATTGCTCCCCCGGCATGAACGTCAACTTCATTGTCAGTTTCCGACCTACTCAGCATGACAGTTTGATCGAGGGCAATGTGAGTGCATATATACATATAACTTCTAGCCTTTTGTATTTGTACATACAAAATATTTCATTAGCAAATCTTGTACTTTTCGTATAATATACGATATCAGAAAACCATATAGTTTATTTTACACACCACAATATTTGTTTTTTTTTGTATAACTTTGTAAAACAATTTTTTCTTTCAGGTTTCGAACATTTTTTCTATATGTACTTGACATATAATTCTCGAAATTTCATTATATTTCAAAATCAATTTAAAATTTGTATTTTTTATATTTTTTTTAAGAAATATAAAAATGTGATTATTAGTTTAAAAAAAATCTTGTATTTATTTCAGAGATATATTATATTTTATATTATTTAAATATCTTTTTTAGAAAACGTACATATATTTTTTTATTATATATATATGTGTATTTTATATATCTATGTATATATATATTTTTTTTACACATTAAAAACATGCAAAATATTGTACATACAATAGTAAAAAATGCCAAAACCAGTAAAGTTTTCTTGTACAAGATATTTTTATAATAATTAATAAAAAGAGCATTTTATATTGTTTGCAGGCAAAGCTTGAAATTGAAAAATATGGAGTTCTCAGCGTAAAAATTACCGGAGGTTGCTGCAAGCTACCTGACCCAATTGACACTTTGTTCTTTTCGTGCCGTGTTCGTGAAAAACTAATGCAATCTCTAAACGTCGAGAACGACACGACGACTTCTTGGAAACTAAAGCCAGAAATTTTCGGTGACTACTTCTTTGTCGACGAGATCTTACACGTTCCTGCAAAAAAGATTGCAATCTGTACCATCACCTACGCCCCTCTGGTTATGAACAGCGAGAACCATCCTCACAAAGTAATTAAAAGATACTTGATGAATTTCTCTCGTATGTAGAATAATTTTAATGAATGATTTTATAGAAGAAATATAGATTATTTTACATAATTCTGTGAACAACACAAGTCAACAAACAAACGATACATCTATATCATATTCATATACTGTCTTAGGGTACGTTGCTTTTGAAGCTGCCGAATGACAAAGCACCTTTGGTGTATTCTCTTCAAGGATTGAGCCTAGCTCCGCAGGTTCTGCAAAGGATTACACGTCAGTTCCCTGCAAAGACAAAGTTTACAGAATTATTATCTGTCTACAACTGGATGAGTAAATGGCAACGATTCGAATGTAAAATTGAAGATTTAGAGAACAAAGCTTCCGTCAAGGTTTAAAAATTTATTTTGAGCGATTTAAATTGTGATAATTATACAAATTTTAATATCTTTTTTTTACTTCTTTAGGATAAAGCATACAGTTTTGTTGGTAACAATAAGATAGACGTGCCGTCAAATACTCAGCGAGACTATCGTGCAGAATTTCACTCTTACAAAGAATTGGAATGTAATTTCAAGGTAAACCATTAATTAAAGAAAAAATTAAATCATTAAATAAAGAAAGAAAAAAATCATTAAAAAAAAGAAATACAAATCTTATTATAAAAAAAATGTTCAATATATAGAATAGAATTTTTTAAGTTTTTTGAAATGTATTTTATTCAGATAACGTTCATTAATGAAGACGGCGAATATCAGTTTTATGAACTTCAATACAATATTACAAAACCTGAAAGAATCGAATCGATTAAATTGATTACTTCGGTGCGATCTTCGGTGTGCCACGCTTTAAGACTCGATAATCCATTCAAAGAACGACATGTAATGTATACGGCAAAGTGTCAGCATCCTTATATCACTATTTATGATGTACCAAAACTTGTGGCACCTTTATCCAGCGTTAGTTATTTTTTATTATATTTTATTAAGATTGTTAATTAAAATAATTGTCATTTTTTAATGTTACATTAAACAATATTAATGAAAAAAATTATATATACAATTTGTAATTAAATAAAAGAAGTTTAGATAATCAATAAAGAATGTAACTACTAATAATCGATATAAATGCAACAGGAAACAATCGGTATCGAATATTATCCTATACATCCCAGCGAGGAGTCTGCGATAAACTTGGATGTTAATAGCGAAGAACTCGGATTGTTTCCTTATGAATTGCGATTGCGAGCGACACCGGCTCCTGCGGAAAAAACGACGCGTGTTGTTGCGATGCTCGGTGCTTCTGTCACCTTCTCTTTGACCGTACGCAATCACGCCGAAAAGAGTGCAACATTTGCAATCAAGGTAAATATAAAATATAAAAAAACGTTTCTATCAAAATATAAAAATTTTCTCATTCTAGGTGAATAATGAATGTTTCACGACTTCGAAGAACATCGAAGTGCCAGCGTTAAAAAGTGCCTCATTCGATGTAGTCTACGAACCTTATGACATCGATAACGTTTCTGCTATTTTGACAGTCACGTCTGAAATCGCCGGGGAATTTATGTATGATAATTTACAGTTAAAATTATTTAATTTATCTTATTGATATATTATTATCAAATGCGTGCTTGTAGTTATAATTTTATTTTAATTATGCACAGATTTCCTCTTGTCGGTACATATTCATTGCCGAAACCACAAGGACCGTATACAGTTACTCTCAAAGCACCGATTCTTATACCATTTAAAAATATATTTAGAGAAACTAAATTTTTCGAGCTTATTTTGGACAATCCTGAAGCTTTCGCGACGACAACATCATTGGAAGAGATTAAACAAAAACAGGTAAATCTACAGATGTATATATTTTTCAAATATTTTAAATTTACCTATTTTTAAAAATGGAAATCGTTCATCGAATATGGACGTTTGAGGGTATATAAGAAAATTATTATTTATTTGAGATATATTGATGAGAAAAAAATATTTATATATTATTTATTATATATTTATATTATTTGGAAACATTCTTAAGATAATAATTATTATGATATTAATACATATATAATCGGATTTTTATAAATTAATATTTCAAGACAATCAATATCGTCGTTCGTCTGAAAGATGTATCAAATGAAAATAAGAGAAAAGTAGAAAATGACAGCTATCCAATAACTGGAAAACTCTCGATATACTGTACAGATCCCAAGATTTCTCACATCAATTGGACTTATTATTTAAAAAGTGTATATGACTAACACATAAATAAGCAACATATATTAGTATCTAATACTTAATGATATTAATAATACTGTAGCTTGACACGTACATCGAATCATTCGAAATATAAAATTTTATGATTGATTATAGTGATTGTAAATGTTCTAATTATATATTATTTTAACAAATGATATACATTTGATATCCTATATATGTTTCAACATAGATCGTCAATCCTTTCCTTTTTTTATAAAAAAAGGCATGCTAACTGAATGAATTTAATTTTAATTGAAGTATTGACTTTAGAAAGTACAGAAATTATTTGCGCGTATACATATATATATTTTTGAATTTCATTAATATATATGTATAATGCGACATATGGAATGCGTTCTAAAATTTACTCCTTAAAGTAAAAATAGAAATTGCTTTGTTTTGATTTAACTAATTAAATCAATCAAACGCTAATCTAAACTACAACTTAGCCATCATATGCTTTTATAGTTGACGCTCTGACGGAAGCGTCATATCTAGATATCCGTGCATCATGATTGTTGACAGTCACAATCAGCTGTAGCAGTCACACATCGCGCATGCGTCGACATATGATGCTCCGCTGAACGACTACATTCACACAAAAAAAAACTTTTGGTCATGGTGATTTGCAATCTTTGTTTGATAACGAATTGTTGTTCCGTAAACCCAAGAATATAATCCAGAATTATTCTCGTGACGAGCTGTTGTATCAACATGTGAATTCTACGAAACTACGCCTTTCGAATCAGGCAAGGCGATGACTCTGAAAATTTGATCGTTAACAAGGTTTTTACAGCGGCCGCTGATTTCATATAATCTGTCACCCTCAACTGTCAACTATCAAGCCTCCACTCATCTTTATGAAAAATATTTGTTTCTCAGATGTAAATTAAACTCTTTTCGAATGAATTAATAATTGTTGAACACAATCATGAAAGTAAAACCTGTGAGTTTTGTTAAATGAAATTCGAAGAAACTCTCTGTATTAATTGACCGAATAAGATTAGGCATGCACTTCATGCATCCTGCACTGCCACTTTTTGCAATTTTTTTCGGATAAGCATATCGTAATCTTTGCATTGCGCCATCATGAGTGAAGAGTTCAGGAAAATAGTAACCAGATTCCATCCTATTCACGGTGAGAATATTCTCCTGTGTGAGGATAGCACAGTGGCAATACGTACTACGAGTTTTGCCAATTCAGTGGCTTTCAGTGAGAAGCCATTGCAACCAGGAGAAATCTTTCTCGTGGAAATTGAAAAGACAGAGAGAGGATGGAGTGGACATATGCGATTAGGACTTACACTAATTGATCCTGCTTCAGTCAACAACAATCTACCACAGTATGCGATGCCTAATCTAGTTAGATTAGGCAACACATGGATTCTTGCTATAACTAGAAATCAGACTATCTGGGATAACTTTGATGGTGGTCTCTCATCTACATATACTACCCTTACTGGTTAATATCTCTTAATTTAAAATTATTAATTTATTCTTGTTGTACAAGCATGCATTTAATTTATTTTTTCTATTAGAATTATTGAGTATATAGCATATACATTAATAAATATTGTGTCTTTGTTCATTATCAAAGGTATACCACCAGGGATACCAGCCAGAGAAAAGAAATTGGTCACAGATGGAGTCAATGTGCAAACGTCACGTGGCGTTATTCCATTCAATGCTCTGAAACCAAACATAGATGGTTCCTCACAGTGCATCTTGCCCACAGACGTTGGTAGTCGAATTGGTATCATGTACGTACCACAAGCTGGTTGTCCTGATAAGGCAGAGATGCATTTCATCATTAATGGTGAAGATCAAGGTGTATGTGGAAAGGATATTCCCTACAAAGCAGGACCTTTGCGTGCAGTGGTGGATGTCTATGGCACCACGAAACAAGTACGAATAGTTCAACTGTATGGGGGTGAGTATTTATATTATGTCTTATCTTTTTATTTTAACACTTTCTATATTGTTTTTATAATATAATATTGTTTTAGTAGTATCAACGTTACAGAGCGCGTGCCGTGATGCTATACTGCAATATACCAAGAGGAACGCGGTTAATCTGCTTCCATTACCCAGACTATTAAAGGACTATCTGTTATATCAATCGCAGTAAAAATCAGCTCACATTCCATTTATACATACGTTTTTATACATATTTACGAAACATTTTCTGTTAAATTCTTTTTCTCAATGATATCACATAACATATCTCTAATGTTTAATATGTATATGTTTATACATATATATATATGTGTGTGTATATATACATGTTCTAAATCTTAAGTACATGTTTTGTTTATATTGAAAGTAGCCGTTTATTTATCATTTAATGCAAATTACTCTTTTAATTTCTAAATTTTTCTCTCTTTAAAATTGTAATATTAAATTATTGTGTGTACATAATGTGTAATGAAATGTTTATTGCTGCATCGAGGATATCAGCAAAATTGCATTGAAAGTTTAATTGTAAGTATCATTTGGACGTAACCATGTTTATTGGGTATAATATAATGCTATACATAAAATTTAAACATATTTTTTGGACACACCTATCTTTTCCTTAAACGTGTTTTGAATAGATTTACAATAACGATAATTTTTCACAGAAAATCAATATTAGTTTCAAAAAAATGATGTATAAAATAGTATTGAAGTAAATCTTTATTTGAATAATTAAATAATTTTTTTTCAGTTGTGTGTGATGTAAACAATTTCTTATATTAATAGTTGACGTTTAACACAAATTACATCTTTCCACAAATATCTATTTCCAAAGAGTTATTCGTGTATCTTTCTATTTTTTCAAATATAACTTTGATACGAGTATGTATATATGTATACAAGTCCGTATATTCTCATAAGACGCGAGAGATGAATTATTATACATATAAATGGCAAGATAGTTAACATGATGAGCAAAACTTGTTATTTTTTCCTAGAAATATCATAAAATATCTGTAGTATTCGATAAATTATTGTGCATACTAAAGAGATTATTTAAAAAAAAAAATATATATATATATATATATATATATCGAAGTTTATAATGATCAATTAAAATAATTTATATTAATTTTTATAGCAAATTTAAATACGCAAGCGAGTTCTTAAATGAGGTACGCGATAATAGTAGTCAGATATGAAAATTTATAATTGTATCAATTTTTCGTTATTTTTTACAAGAACTGATTATGTTAAATAACATAATGAGATATGAATATTGAGATTAAAAAATTCTCAACAATTTATATATTTAAAAGTGTCAAATCTTTGAACTCGCGTTGTATAAATCACGTAATATAAATTGTATATACTTGGTTACGAGTTTTAAGAGTTATTAAACATGTTCTATAGTATTATTAGCTAGATTATAATGTTTATATTATATGTTTTAATGTGTAAAATTGATGTGTTTGAAAAGATTCTTCCCAGGAATTTCGTAATTTTATCACGTTGAAACTTTTATCATACATAGTAAACAATTATCTATTGTAAGTCCAAATTTGAAAGATGAAGTTTGTTATACGATAGTTAAATTTTTGTTTTCATCTAAAATTTCTTTTGCTTTCTTGTCGAGCCAATCGCACTCAATGCTTTTTTCTTTTATTACGTTTTCTTCTAGTTAGTTTAGATTTTAGAGGAACCTAAAGAAAATAAAGTAAATAATTAAAAAATGCTATATGATATGAAAAGGAGACATTGTAAAATAAAAATCCTAAGATTATTATTCTCGCGATTTTCATCAACAATGTTTCGAACGTTCTATTTACATCTTCGTTTATCGACATTCAAGGAAAATTTCTTTCTTGAAACAAAGGTTTTAAAAACAAGTTTATATATAAAAATATTAACATTGCTCAGTATCTCACAAATGTATTTGAATTTCTCTTTATTCTAAAAACTCTTTTATATAATATAAGTAACATAAAATGATACTTACATTGAAAAGATCCGATAGTTACGTGTCTCGTTGCATATGATCGTACAAAGTACTTGGTTTTATCATCGACGAAGATTGGCATTGTATTTTGCAGTTATTAAAAGACTCGAGCTCAGAAATTTCTTCGATGTATTTGATTATAAATTTATACAGCCAGTTTGAGCCCGCATTTTTGTTTTTAGACCATATTGAAATATATTGTTTATGATGTTGTAGGGCTAAATCATAAATAAAACTTTGTAATTGTTTTAATGCGCAAATCTGACAAGAGCATTCCCATTCTTTTTTCAAGCAATGTAATCGTTCCAATAACGAAAATTCCTCCGTAAATGTAAAAATTCCGCCCGTTTCTGATAATTTGTCATATTTGTATTCAGTCTTATCTTTTAAGCTTTTATATTTAGTATATTCTACTGATAGTTCTTTCTCGTTAATTTTATACTCTTTTGCAGCATTCTGTAGAATTTTTTTGTTAGAGACAAGATCAGCTATTGCTTTTTCAAACCTAGGTTTTTCTTCCAAATATTTCTTTTTCCTTAGAAATATACTTATTTTAAAATTTAATGATTCTTTGTCAAGACTATATTCTTTTGCAACTTTTTCATAAGGTTCATAATTAAGTAAAATTTTTTGTACTGCTTCGTGGAGTCTATGACTAAAGTCTAGATCCTTTTTAATCTTTTCCTCTATGCTCTCGGACATTATAGGAACCTGATGAAATAAAGCGAATAATTAAAATATTCTATGTAATATGTGTGATGAAAGAAGGGGTGCAATTATAAGATAAAAATCAAAATTATTTTCGCGATTTTCACCTTATTACAACAAAAAATCGAACGTTTTAAACGTTTTGTCTAAATGTACTTAATATCAACATTTAAGGATATATATATATATATATTTTTTTTAAGTTTTTCAACAATGAAAAATGAAATAACACATTGACGTTGCACAGAATCTCATAGTGTATTTCAATTTTTCCTTATTTTAAAAACTTAAATAATTATAAAATATATTTCATAATATATTTCATATATTATAATATAATATAATAATGCTTATAATAATAAAATAATACTTACAAAATAATGTTTATAAATATAATCTTAAATTTTGAAAATATCAAGCTGACTAACGTTTTCTCTTTATTTATTTGCTGGTAAATAGGACCGAACTGACAATGAAATTAGTGTCACGAATCGGCGAAACCAAAAATTTCAAAATATAAGTAAGAGAAAGAGAGGTGGGAGAATAGAAAGTTTATATAGTTTAGTGTATATATGTAGCGTTAATTAATTTTTTCATAATTTTATGATCGCTTGATTGAAAATATAACATTATTTTGTACGTATTTTTTTTCGAGTTTGTATTGTACTCGATTTTAAAAACAAGATCTATTTTATGGGAATTTTTCTATAATTTAAATCATATTCTTTTTTGTAAGAATTTTAATCATTTAATGTTAATTTATTTTTTTAATTTTATAATTGTATGAAAACAAACAACAAATTTTTAAAGCAAATTTGATTTTACAATATAAATATATTTATAAGAGAAAACTAGTCAGTGTTTCTCTTATCTTATCGTCTTTCGAACTGCATAGCTATGAATTTATCCAGTATACTTTTATTATATTTGTTTATTATGAGAGATAATTATTTTATAATGTTAAAATATATCTTTAATAAACACTTATGCTATTTAAATATCTACATTAAGGATTTATAATATTACAGTATAATATGAAGGAAAACACGTGCTTAGCAACACAATATAGGCGAGAAGTACACTTAAAAATGCAAACCAGCCTATGAGTATTATGACGTATCTCCATGGCGATTTTTTATTATTTGACTGTACAAGATCGGTATTATCATCCGCATCAATTTCTATCTTTGCTGTTACAGCTGGATCCAAGATGCTGACCAGAAGAATCTGTCCAATTCTACTGCGCAATATGGACGTTGTATTGCTTGAAATCCATGTGGGTGGCTCGGTGGTCAATTCTTGCAAGTGTCGCAGAATACTAGTAAGTATTAAAGCAAACGATGCTATCGCGAAAGAGCTTTCGTAAAAGACGACTGAAATAAAAATATATTTATCATAGAAAATATATTTTTTTTACAATAAAAAATCTCAAATAAATTTAAAATTAATTAATTATTAAAACTATGCAATTGAAATTTGAGGAATTTTACGAATTAATTTAAAAGTAATATCGGAATATTCTCCACACAATGACTCTTAATTTTGAATAGTTTATGTTAACAGAATTTTATTTCAAGAGATTAATTGTCAAAACATTATTTACTATTGAAAATGAAGATTAACGATATTATAAATACAAATAACTGTTTTGTGTCTACATCACTTACTTAGTTTAGGAACGTTAAAACCGCTCTTCGGTACTTCCCAATGTATGTCATGTATACATAATAAATGACAAATGAAATTGAGATTAGCAATCACCATCCGCTCAAAAGATTTCGGTTCTAGCCACAATACCATCAGAGTCATAACCATTAACACTATAAACATCATGAAAAAGTTTGTATATCGAGATCGATGAAACGAGCATATTGAAAATTTTATTTACTGTATTTATTCATTAACATAAAATTGAAATTATTTGAAAAAAGATAATTACACAGATTTATATTGATTTATATTATAAAAGTGGCATTGACATTAATATTAATAAAAGATAACATAATTTACGTGATGCTTACCTATAGTAGGCGATATATATGCAATGCGTATGATGCCCCAATGTCTTCTTAGAATAAAATGATAAGAAAGCATTTCAGCTGTGGAACCCGCATTACTCTTATATTGGCCTTCCCATTTTGTTATGTACATTTTCAATAAATCCCACTCAACATCTTTGGATTGTATTTCCATTAACTATAAATACCGATTTAATTCATAGATTTATAAAAAATAGACAAAATATAAAAAAGTATTAATCAAAGATTATTTTATATATATATATATATATCAGGCATAGATATATCACTTATTGAGAGGTATGTAAGTATATCGGTGTATTGATAGGAAATAAATAGATAAATAATTTGTATACCATATTCAGCGCAGAAACGAGTTCGATTTCGTCACCGGAATGTGACCACGATCCAATTTGTATGGTACAGTTCATAGTATTGTATGGCCACCATGTATTATCCGCGAAACAATATGTAGCATATTTTGCTGCCGTTAACCATTGAATCTTTCCCTGATGTGTGACCCAAGCTTTCGCCTGATTATAACCCATAGAGCTCTCTTCAATTCGTCTAAATATTCAAATAACTCGATAAATATCTCGATATATCTTGAATAAATATCTCTAAATCAAACAATATTGCTTTGCTGGGATAAAAAAAAATATCAGGAAAGAATTAAAATATTTTGTATATATTAATCCTAGATTATTTTAATTTCACAAATATATATGGTTCTTATCACTTTTGATTAAAACATATATTTAATCGAGATGAAGGGAAAAAATGACTTTTAATTTGAGTTTTAATTATATAAATACAATTTCAAATCAATGTTTCTTGATAAAAGTTTCTAATTTGTTGATAAAAAATTTAAGTTGTAAAGAATTATATCGATAACAATTAATAAATTTACATTAGCACGTTTTCAAATACAAGAATATATTGCTTACTCGTTATATATTGAAATATCCGGCACCCAAATTTGATGGCCTGGTACAGAAATCCAATTGATATTATCATATTGTTCAGGATCCCAAGTCAAATGTGAATCATTCCATGTCTATTTCAATAAGATAATATATACAAATAGAAGGTATTTATATTTTAGAAATTTATATTACCAAATTATATTCAAAAAAATGGAAAGCATCTATAGAAATATAATTCGTCAATCTAACAACTAAATCAATATATACATAATTTTTCTATCATTTAAACTTATTTATATGATATAATATTTACAAATAATTTAAATAAACTTACCATAGATATCCACGTATGTAGTTCGAAAAGTTCTTCTTCGTTATTCTACAACAAACAATTTATAGCTTTAATTAATGTAATTTTTTATGTGATTTTTTTTTGTTTTGTAGATTGCATATTTGTAATCTACAGCTTAAAGTTGCAAAGAAAACTTTTATAATTTAAAGAAAAGATTGAAAGGAATGGGCTAATAATAAGAACCGATGCGTCGGAAATAAAAACGTAAAAAAAATTTTTTGGTGTTTAATACTTATTTATTTTATTTATTATTATATATAGATAAGTATTTAAAAAAATTTGCGTTCTTATTTCCGACTTACCGGCTCTTATTAGTCTATAGTCTATTCCTTTTAATCTTTTATTTGAATATATTAGAACCTTTTCTCCATCGTCATAATTTAAATTACAAAATATTTTGCACAAACAAATTAAAAGTATAAGATAAAAAGTATACAAGAAAAGAAAGGATTAATTTTGATTGATTAAATATTGGCTTTTTTAGAGAATTTGTTATTTACCATAAAAAAACAATTTTCACGATTACTTACAAAGCGAAGAAAATGTGGTACCATACTGAATGTTACTCGCGTCTTGTTATTGTTGTTCTGGACCGGTCTTACATCGGAATCGTACTCGCAGAGGAGATTCCTTTTCAGTCGTAATATAGTAGATTTGCTCTCGACATCGTTGCAACTCATACTTGCTGTCACATTATTATATAAGACATCAAAGATAAATAATAAGATAAAAAAAAGACCGCTTCTGCTCATCTTGGATATATGACTATCGATGAACGAATTTAAAACGACTGAATCGTTTAACGAAATATGTGAGAATAGAATGTGAGAATAATAAATTTGATGATAACCATAACGCCCAACGAAATGTAAAACTACAGATTTCGAAGACCGCCCCTTCAACATCAAACTCTTATCGCTTTCATAACTTATTATTAGAACAGTTCTCATCCATAAGTAATATATATTTTATCGATGAAAATAAAAAAATATAAAATATAAAATAATTTTCATGATTTTTTTTTTTACGATGCTTTAAATTATATTTGATTGTATTTTTCTAATTTAAATCTAAAACTTTATATATTACATACACACACACACACACACACATATATATATATATATATATATATATATATAATTAGTAAATTTTTAGATTAAATTAAATTAGGTTAAATTAAAAGCTAACAAAGTAACAATATTATATATTATATTTATATGGATCGTAGATAATTTTTAAGCAAGTCGAAAACAATAACAGAAATACGAGGTTTATAGTTTATTTTATACAAATTTATTTATTTTATCGATTTTTTATTATGTAGCATTTATGTATATTTATATACATATATGTATATTATTCACTATACACATTTAGCAAATCTTTCCACAGATACGCTTTCTTTATTACAGGTGCAAAATGTTAAATGTTGCATTTTTTTAAGTTACAGAAGTTGTTCACATATAAAATTGTGTTATTAATAATTTTATATAAAAGAAATGTGTGTGATAAATGTCGAATACTTCAATCAAAAATAATACATGATTTATTTGAATCAATCACAACAACATGCGAAAGATTATTTTAAAAACTTTTATAAAGAGATGTTATTATTCGTTAACCTGTAGGTAAAAGAGTAATTAAGATAATGACATAAATGAGAAAAACGCAGAAGAACGACAACCATTCGACAATAGCGGCAAAATATCTCCAAGATTCCTTTCTTCCAGATTTTGATAAATCCGAGCTGTCTTCAATTACTATGCTATCGCCTGTTATCTTGGACTTCTCGTCCTTTAGTATTAGAAAACGACCAGCCCTATTGTTTATGACAAACATTGTCGAGGATGAAATCCAATTTGGCATATCTGTACTCATATTTTGCAGTTTGCGCAACAAAGTCGTTAAGATTAATGCAAAGGTAGCCAATGCCAAGGAATCGCGATAAAACAGCACTGTTGAATGTAAAATAAGTAATTTATTATTTGATTTAAATTATACATGTTTGAGACACGTTTGAGTTTTAATTCTAATTAGGGTTAATGTATTTGAATTATTTTATACTCTCTGGTATTTATTCTAATATTATTATTTATTCCTTCTAATAAAAATTTCATATACTACATATATACTTAAACAATATTTATATATATATATATATATATATATATATATCTAGAGCTATTAAAAAAAAAACAACATAAAAAATAACATAAAACATAATGTTAAAGTTACAAAATTGAAATATTTTGAAACTAATTTCAAATGTTCTTTAGTTCTATAATTATTCATTCTTTATAATTCTCATACTTACTTATATTAGGAGGATTAATACCATTATATGGCATTTGCCAATGCAAATCGTACAGGCAGAATAGATGGCAAATCAAATTTACGCTTGCAACCGCGGTCCGTTCGACTGATCTCGAATCCAACCAAAGCACAGTCAAAGTGAGTAATATCAAAGCTGAAAAAAATATTTATAGTTTATATTACAGTTTAAGTTTTATTTTGTACTTTTGCTTTTTCAAGAAGTTGCCTACCGATTGCCGGTGTGATGATAGTTTTGTGCTTTATACCGTAATGTCGAATTAACATAAATGAATAATCCATCTTTGGAAAAGTGTTGTTTGGACAACATTCGTACTTTTTAATGTGTTTCACTGCATCCACAAACTTCAAATCGTACAATGTATTATTTTTATAGCTGTCCATGTTAATCTAAAATAAATTTACCCAAACGCAATTATTTTTCGAATAAAATAATGAAATACAAATGTACTTATAAATACAATAAAAAGTCTTTATAGAAAAGATAATCAAATTTTAAAATAATGGTAAAATAATTGTTCTTTTTACAACTTAAAAATTGATCGAAAATAATATTTACGAAATTATAAAGAAAGAAAAATATACATAAAAAAAAGAATTATAAATTAATAATAAATAAGATAATTTACAAACTCCGTTTCCGTCAAAATGGAAATCGACTTCTTCTTTCCAATATGACCATGAGCCAAGTACAACATGACACGTTTGTTGATCGTAAGGCCAATAAGTGTAATCGCTGTCACATTTGGACATGTATTTCACAGCCGGCACGCAAATTACGGAGCCCGTATTAAATACCAGACAATCTGTTGTAGGCATCTTAAGTACATCATTCGACATATCACTACTAAAAGAAATTATAAAGATAATTATTATATTAATGTCATGCAATTAAAGTACTAATATAAATATAAAAGTTGAAGATTTATTTATAATAGACAATTTATTTTAAATTGGTAAAATGTTAGATCTTCTTAATATTAGAATAACGTGCTATGTATTGCTATAATAATAATATACTGCCAACTTACGAGTTGTGAACACATAGATCAGGCACCCAGAGTTCATCAGACTTCACGTGAATATAAGTGACACCGTCAAAATTATTTGGTGTCCAAGTGAGATGCGTGTCTGTCCAGGACTGTTAATTAAATATCTATTAATTAAAAGAAGAACAAGACATAAAGAAAAATATATTCTACAACTCACAAATGACATCCAACTGTGGAGTGTTAGTATTTCCTTGTGCCCGATCTGTAAGTTTAATTGATTATTTTCTTTATTATTTCCACAACTTTCCATTGCTTTATAATAATAAAAAATATTTAAAACATTTTACACAAAATTTATATCAATAATAACAGTATTTTTAATTAAATATTTGTTATGATAAAAAAATAAATATATAGGGCAAGATTGTTAAAATATGCATGACAATATACGAACATTGTTCCCAAAAACACTTCCTGAAATTTTATATGTATAAAGAATGATACATTAAACACATTTAACATTTTTCAAAATAAATTTATACAATTATATATCTTTAATTCTGTTTAAATACAAAATATTTTTTATAATGATTTCTTTTACGATAATCGACTTACGTATTCCATCATCTTCGGCATCAGCTTAAGAGTGACGTTAATACTAGCTTTCTGATGATTTGGACGAACGGTATTATCATACGTACAGAAAAGATATTTTTTTAGACGCAGTAATGGAGTTGTATCTTCCAGATTTTTACATCCCCGTGTCATAACATCCTCTTCCAATTTCGTGGCTATAAAAGTATCCATATAGAGGCAATCTAAATATTAATTCAATTTTTTAACTAATATAATATCTAAGCATTACCAAATTATTATATATATATATATATATATATATATATATATATATATTATTTTTATTTAGAATAATAATTTTTACAAACATTATAATTATAGTTTAAAATTATTTAATATGAGAAAATAAGATTATGACACAATTCTCTTATATTATTAGATCTGGAAACAAGATAAAATAATATACAATTTATATTATTTAATGAAGACATACGATTGTCATAATACATACCGGCCCGATACTGCCATAGAATAATGAAAAATCCGAATATCTGTAGTATTCTCATCTTGATCGGTATAAGTCAACGGCTCTTATTCGACTAATTATCTTCATTATAATAACAGAACAATTTTATTGGACGCGTCATGAAATTCTATACTGTTGATATATTTGACGCCCCTAAAGTATCGACTCTAATTTGAACATTTTATAATAAACTATATTAAAGATCAACCGTATAGAGATCAAAGCATGACTTAATATGTTTTCTATTATCTTTGTGGATAAAATCCTTAAAATTGATGTCAGAAAATTTGTATCAAAATGTATAGTTTTGATATTTTTTTGAAAATATTAACTTTTGAAAATATTTAAAAGTTAGTTTTTTAATAAAGTAAGTAAAATAAAATTAAAGATTAAATTATAAAAATTTAATTATAAAATAAGAATTTCAGTTTTTATGCTATTGTACTAAAGATATCGTTTATTTTTAGAGCAAACACATCTTATTTTTCCGGTTTATGGTTAATCAATGGATTTAATTATAAATATACATATATATATATATTAATGCATTTATTGTTATACACAGGTTTTTAAAATCTATATGAAAGTAGCTTTGTTATTTTGCAAAAAATATAAAAATTAGCAGAATATTAAGTACAAATAACAAATCTAAATAATTTTTGTTACTTATTAATATTTTTTATTATTTATATAACATTTTTATTAAAAAATATAAATTATTTTTAAATTAATAAATGTTAAGAAAGGAAAAGTAATTGAATAATATATCTAAGAACTTTTTAGTTATATTTTATATGTTTTAGTTTAATGATTTGATCCTGTTTATTTTTCATTATTGTGTTAGTGTAATGTCTGATTTGTTCTGTGATGTTGTTTGACTGTGATAATATTTCTGTTCTAATATAGTTCGACTATGTTGTTCTCCATTATGTTCTGAGGTACGAATTTAATATTATTAAGATTCTATATACATATATATATATATATATATATATATATATAAACAATAATAAATATTATATTTCACTTGAAAATTACGCACATATTATTTATTTGAATCAGTCACAAAAGCATGCGAAACATTATTTAAAAAATTTTTATAAAGAGATTTTATCGATCATTCATTAACCTATAGGTACAAGAGTAATTAAGATAACGACATAAATGAGAATAACGCAAAAGAACGACAGCCATTCTACAATAGCGGCAAAATATCTCCAGGATTCCTTAATTCCTGATTTTGGTAAGTCCGAGCTGTCTTCAATTACTATGCTATCGCCTGCTATCTTGGACTCTTCGTCATTTAGTATTAGAAAACGACCAGCCCTATTGTTTATGACAAACATTGTCATGGATGAGATCCAATTTGGCATGTCTGTACTCATATTTTGCAGTTTGCGCAACAAAGTGGTCAAAATTAATGCAAAGGTAGCCAATGCCAAGGAATCGCGATAAAACAGCACTGTCAAATGTAAAACGAATAATTAATTATTTGATTTAATCTATACATGTTTGAGACGTTTAATTTTTAACTCTAATTAAAGTTTTGATGTATTTTAATTTTTTATTCTTTCTTATAAAAAATCTTATATATTACATATATAGTTAAACAATATTTAATATATCTCTAGAGCTACTAAAATAAAAAAGTAACATAATGTTAAAGTTATAAAATTCAAATATTTTAAAACTAATTTCAAATTAAAAAAAATGTTTTTTAGTTCTATAATTATTAATTTTTCATAATTCTCATACTTACTTATATTAGGAGGATTAATACCATTATGCGGCAATTGCCAATGCAAATCGTACAGGCAGAGTAGATGGCAAATCAAATTTACACTTGCAACCGCGGTTCGTTCGACTGATCTCGAGTCCAACCAAAGCACCGTTAAAGTGAGTAATATTAAAGCTGAAAAAAATATTTATAGTTTACATTATAGTATAAGTTGTATTTTGTACTTATGCTTTTTCAAGAAATTGCCTACCGATTGCCGGTGTGATGACAGTTTTATGATTTATACCGTAATGTCGGATTAACAAAAATGTATAATAAATCTGCGGGTAAGTTTCGTTTGGACAACATTCGTATTTTTCAACGCTTTTCACCGCATACACAAACTTCAAATCATACAATGTATTATTTTCATAGCTATCCATGTTAATCTAAAATTACCCAAACGCAATTATTTTTCAAATAAAATAATGAAATACAAATGTACTTATAAAAAAGATAATCAATAGTGTAAAATAACTATTATTTCTACAACTTAAAATTTTATCGAAAATAATATTTACGAAATTAAAGAAAGAAAAATATACATAAGAGATAAAGAGAATTATAAATTGATAATAAATAAGATAATTAACAAACTCCGTTTCCGTCAAAATGGAAATCGACTTCTTCTCCCGCATATGACCATGAACCAAGTTGAATACGACACAATTGTTGATCGTAAGGCCAGTAAGTGTAATCGCCGTCACATTTGGATATGTATTTTACAGCCGGCACGCAAATTACGGAGCCCGTATTAAATACCAGACAATCGGTTGTAGGTATCTCAAATAGACCATTCGACATATCACCTCTAAAACAAATTATGAAGATAATTATTATATCGGTATCATGCAATTAAAGTACTAATATAAATATAAATGTTAAAGATTTATTTATAATAAACAATTTATTTTAAAATCGGAAAAATGTTATATCTTCTTAATATTAAAATAACGTGCTAGGTATTGCTATAATAATAATATACCGTCAACTTACGAGTTGTAAACAGATAGATCAGGCACCCAGAGTTCATCAGACTTCACGTGAATATAAGTGACACCGTCAAAATTATTTGGTGTCCAAGTGAGATGCGTGTCTGTCCAGGACTATTAATTAAATATCTATTAATTAAAAGAAGAACAAGACATAAAGAAAAATATATTCTACAACTCACAAATGACATCCAACTGTGGAGTGTTAGTATTCCACTGTCCCCGGTCTGTAAGTTAAATTGATTATTTTCTTTACCATTTTTATTCCTTTCCATTATTTTATAATAATAAAAAATATTTAAAATATTGTACACAAGATTTATATCAATAATAACAGTATTTTTAGTTAAATTTGTTTTAATAGAAAAATAAATGTATGGGGCAAGATTGTTAAAATATGACTATATACGAACATTGTTTCCAAAAGCACTTTTCTGAAATTTTATATGTATAGAGAATGATACATTAAACACATTTAATATTTTTCAAAATAATTTTATACAATTATATATCTTTAATTCTGTTTAAATATAAAATATTTTTTATAATGATTTCTTTTACGATAATCGACTTACGTATTCCATCATCTTCGGCATCAGCTTAAAAGTGACGTTAGTAACCGTTTTGTGATGATTTGGACGAACGGTACTATCATACGTACAAAAAAGATATTTTTTAAGATGCAATAATGGAGTTGTATCTACCAGATTTTTACATCCCCGTGTCACAACATCTTCCAATTTCATGGCTGTAAAAATATCCATATAGAGGCAATATAAGTATTAATACAATATTTTAATTAATATACTATTTAATTATTGCCAAATTATTTTATATATATATTATTTTTATTTAAAATAATAATTTTTACAAACGTTATAAATATAATTTAAAATTATATAATATGAGAGAATAAGATTATTGCATAGTTCTCCTATATTATTAGATCTAGAAACAATATAAAATAATATGCAATTATTATTATTTAATGAAGACATGTGTATGTCATACATACCGGCTCGATCTTGCCATAGAATAATAAAAAATCCGAATATCCGTAGAATTCTCATCTTGATCGGTATAAGTCAACGGCTCTTATTCGACTAATTACCTTCATTATAATAGCAGAACACTTCATTGGACGCATCATGAAATTCTATACTGTTGATATACATATTTGACGCCCCTAAAGTATCGACTCTAATTTGAACATTTCATAATGAACTATATTAGAGATCAACTGTATAGAGATCATAGTATGATTTAATATGTCTTCTATTATCTTTGTTGATAAAATACTTAAAATTGATGTGTCATAAAATTTGTATTGGAATGAATAATTTTGATATTTTTTTGAAAATATTAACTTCTTTTGAAAATATTTAAAAGTTAATTTCTTAATAAAGTAAGTAAAATAAAATTAAAGATTAAATTATAAAAATTTAATTATAAAATAAGAATTTCAGTTTTTATGCTGCTGTACTAAAGGTATCGTTTATTTTTAGATTAAACACATCTTATTTTTCGAGTTTATGGTTATTCAATGGATTTAACTATAAATAAATGTATATATATATATATATTTATTTATTTATTTATTAATATATTCATTGTTATACACAAGTTTTCAAAATCTATATGAAAGTATAACTTTGTTATTTTGGAAAAGATATAAAATTTAGCAGAATATTAAACACAAATAACAGATCTAAATAATTTAATTAATTTATTAATATTTTTTATTATTTATATAACATTTTTATTAAAAAATATAATAAATTATTTTTAAATTAGTAATTGTTAAGAGAGGAAAAGTAATTAAATAATATATCTAAGAACTTTTATATTTTATATGTTTTAGTATAATGATTTGATCCTGTTTATTTTTTATTATTGTGTTAGTGTAATGTTTGATTTGTTATCTGTGGTGATGTTTTGTCTGTGATAATATTTTGATCCACTATAATTCAATTACGTTGTTCTTCATTATGTTCTGCGATATGAATTAATATATATATATATATATATATATATATATTACTAAGATTCTATATATATAAATAAACAACAATGAATATCATATGTTTCAATTGAAAATAACGCACATAAATTATTTATTTGAATCAGTCACAAAAGCATGCGAAACATTATTTTAAAAACTTTTATAAAGAGATTTTATCGATCATTCATTAACCTATAGGTACAAGAGTAATTAAGATAATGACATAAATGAGCATAACGCAAAAGAATGACAACCATTCCACAATAGCGGCAAAATATCTCCAGGATTCCTTAATTCCTGATTTTGGTAAGTCCGAGCTGTCTTCAATTACTATGCTATCGCCTGCTATCTTGGACTCTTCGTCATTTAGTATTAGAAAACGACCAGCTCTATTGTTTATGACGAACATTGTCATGGATGAGATCCAATTTGGCATGTCTGTACTCATATTTTGCAGTTTGCGCAACAAAGTGGTCAAAATTAATGCAAAGGTAGCCAATGCCAAGGAATCGCGATAAAACAGCACTGTCAAATGTAAAACGAATAATTAATTATTTGATTTAATCTATACATGTTTGAGACATTTAATTTTTAATTCTAATTAAAGTTTTGATGTATTTTAATTTTTTATTCTTTCTTATAAAAAATCTCATATATTACATATATATTTAAACAATATTTAATATATCTCTAGAGCTACTAAAATAAAAAAGTAACATAATGTTAAAGTTATAAAATTCAAATATTTTGAAACTAATTTTAAATAAAAAAAATGTTTTTTAGTTCTATAATTATTAATTTTTCATAATTCTCATACTTACTTATATTAGGAGGATTAATACCATTATATGGCATTTGCCAATGCAAATCGTACAGGCAGAGTAGATGGCAAATCAAATTTACACTTGCAACCGCGGTTCGTTCGACTGATCTCGAGTCCAACCAAAGCACCGTTAAAGTGAGTAATATTAAAGCTGAAAAAAACAGTTGTAGTTTATATTATTGTTTAGGTTTTATTTTGTACTTATGCTTTTTCAAGAAATTGCCTACCGATTGCCGGTGTGATGACAGTTTTATGATTTATACCGTAATGTCGAATTAACATAAATGTATAATCAATCCTCGGGAAAGTGTCGTTTGGACAACATCTATACTTGTTAACGTGTTTCACTGCATCCACAAACTTCAAATCGTACAATGTATTATTTTCATAGCTGTCCATGTTAATCTAAAATAAATTTACCCAAACGCAATTATTATTAAATAAACTAAAAAAATATAAATGTATTTTATATAAATATATTAAAAAGGCTTTATAAAAAAGATAATCAAATAGTAAAATATATAATGGTAAAATAACTATTATTTCTAAAACTTAAAATTTTATCGAAAGTTATGTTTAAGAAATTAAAGAATGAAAAATATAAAGAGAAAAAGAGAATTATAAATAATTGATAAATAAGATAATTAACAAACTCCATTTCCGTCCAAATGGAAATCGACTTCTTCTCCCGCATATGACCATGAGCCAAATACAATACGACACTTTTGTTGATCGTAAGGCCAATAAGTGTAATCGCCGTCACATTTGGATATGTATTTCACAGCCGGCACGCAAATTACGGAACCCGTATTAAATACCAAACAATCTGTTGTAGGCATCTCAAGTAGATCATTCGACATATCACCACTAAAACAAATTATGAAGATAATTATAATATACTTCATGCAATTAAAGTGCATGACGCAATATAAAGTTAAAAGTTGAAGATTTATTTATAATAAACAATTTATTTTAAAATCGGAAAAATGTTATAAGTCTTCTTGATATTAAAATAACGTGCTATAATATTAATAAATCGCCAACTTACGAGTTGTAAACACATAGATCGGGCATCCAGAGTTCATAGGACTTCACGTGAATATAAGTGATACCGTCAAAATTACTTGGTGTCCAAGTAAGATGCGTATCTGTCCAGGACTGTTAATTAAATATCTATTAATTATAGCAAGCCATAAAGAACAATATATTCTAGAACTCACAAATGACATCCAACTATGGAGTGTTAGTATTCCACTGTCCCCGGTCTGTAAGTTAAATTAATTATTTTCTTTACCATTTTCATACCTTTCCATTATTTTATAATAGTAAAAAATATTTAGAAAAGTGTGCACGCAATTTATGTGAATAATAACTGCATTTCTAATTAAATTTGTTATGATAGAAAAATAAATATATAGGGCTAAGTTAAAATGCGACAATACAAACATTGTTCCCAAAAATGTCATTTTCTTGAAATTTTATATGTATAGAGAATAACACATTTTTTTCAAAATATTTTTATACAACTGTATATCTCTTTCTGTTTATTGTATATGCAATATTGTCCTTATAATTTTTTCTTTTGCGTTAATACACTTACGTATTCCATCATCTTTGGCATCAATCTAAGAGTGACATTAGTAACCGTTTTGTGATGATTTGGACGAACAGTACTATCATACGTACAAAAAAGATATTTTTTAAGACGCAATAATGGAGTTGTATCTTCCAGATTTTTACATCCTCGTGTCACAACGTCCTCTGCCAATTTCATGGCTGTAAAAGTATTCATATAGATACAATCTAAGTATTTCAATATTTGTAATTAATGTAATATCTAATCATTACTATATTATTTTAATTATATGTTATTTTTATTTAGAATAATTTTTATAAACGTTATAATAATTATTTAAAGTTATTTAATATGATAGAATAAGATTGATATACAATTCTTCTATATTATTAAATATAGAAAAAATATGAAATAATATATAATTATTATTATTTAATGAAGACATGTGATTGTCATACCAGCTCGATCCTGCCATAGAATAATGAAAAATCCGAATATTTGTAGTATTCTCATCTTGATCTGTATGAGTCAACGGCACTTATTCGACTAATTCTCTTTATTATAGTAACAGAACAGTTTTATCAGACGCCTCATGAAATTCTATACTGTTGATATATTTGACGCCCCTAAAGTATCGACGCTAATTTGAGATTTTTATAATAATATACTATATTAAGGCAACCTTATCGAGATCAAAGTACGACTAAATTTGTAAATTTTTATTATTTTTGTTCATAAAATGCTTAAAATTGATATGTCATAAATGTTTATCGAAATATATATTTCTGATATTTTTTAAAAATATTAACTATTATATTTAAAAGTTAGTCTCTTAATAAAATGAAATTAAATTAACTAAACTTCTACAACTAATTACTATCTATTAAAAACTATATCCAATTGAATACTTGGAATAATTGGATAATATTTCCAAGAATTTGTTAGTTAAATTTTATATTTTTTAGTATAATAATTTTGTCCTGTTTATTTTTTATTATTGTGTTAGTGTAATGTCTGATTTGTGGTGTTGTCTGATAATATTTCTGTTCCAGTATAATTTGACTAATAATAACGGAAAAAGTAATAATAACGGAAAAAAATGACAACCATTCGACAATAGCGGTAAAATATTTCCGAGGTGCTTTATTTCAGATTTCGGAACCAGGTACAAACATAATTAGCATGATGATGTAAGTAAGGATCACGCAGATAAAAGACAACCAATCGATAATAGTGGCAAAATGATTCCAAGATGATCCTTTCAGTTTTGTTTCAGATTTTGGAACATTCACGTTTGCTTCAGCTTCTGTATTTTCATCTGCAATCTTGATCTCGCTGTCTTTCAAAATCAGAAAACGACCAATTCTGTTGCTCAAGATGATCATTGTAATAGATGAAATCCAATTTGGCATTTCCGTGTTCATGTCTTCCAATTTGCGTAACAAAATTGTTAGGATAATGGCAAAGGTAGCCAAAGCGACGGACTGACCATAGAATATAACTACAGGTAACAAAATAATTTATTATACATATATTTATATAAATGTTAAATGTATATTTTATAAGTTTGATGTTAAAAACACTAATTAGTATTTTTTTTATTTGCAATTGTTATAAACTCTTAAATATTATTTTGATTTTAAATTATATACTTTTTTATTTTGTAAAATCAAAAATGTTTTGCAGTTTTATTTTATCAATATAAATTAGAATATTTCGAAACTTATAAAACATTTTTTTCATACAATATTATATTTTATATTTTTCTTATATTTATAGGTATCCTTTATCTTATTACTCACATATTTTAGGTGTATTAACACCGTTGTACTGTAATTGCCAGTGAATAAAGTAAAGACAGAGCAGGTGACAAGTAAAATTTACGCTTGCTAACGCAAATCGCTCCATCGATTTTGGATCCAAGCAAAGCACCGTGAGAGTAAGAAATATCAAAACTAGAAGATCAATATTTCATCAATATTTAAGTTTATCCTGTTTAGTTTTGCTCTCGTTAATAATTGCTCACCAATGGCAGGTACAACAACAGTTATGTGTTTTCTGCCTTTGTACCGTGTCAATAAGAAGTTGTAATCGATACTTGAAAAAGTGTCATTCGGACAGCATTTAAGCGTTTTTCTCTCTTTCACTGCGTTTATAAATTTGAGATCCCATATCGTGTTATTCTCATAGTCGTCCATATTAATCTACCAAAAAAATTTTGAGTTTACAGCAAGAATATTTAATCAACATAATAAATGTCATTAATAAATATTCTAATACCTCGAAATAAAATTATAATTTTTTTTTATATTATACATATAAGCAATCATGTATTATAATTGCTAATTAAACGTTGAGAAATATTTTATGCTTGCTAATTTTAGATGCATTAACTTGATTCTATAGTGGATAAATTTGATCGATAATAATGTCATTTATGTGCAGAGCGAATATATTAGACTAAGGAAAATTGATGATTAATGTGTTTTTTAAATATTTGTAGATCAAATAATTACAGAAGCATTAATTAATTTGACTTTGCAAACACATACTCCATCTTTACTTATCTGATAATCGACTTCCAGCCCTGTATGCTTCCATGAACCGAACGTAATGCGACATTGATATTTATCATAAGGAAAATAGGTGTAATCAGGATCGCATTTGACCACAAATTTCACAGCTGGCACGCAACTGATGGATCCCTCGCTGAAGAGCAAACATTCTGTCGTAGGTAACTCAAGTTGATTATCTAACATATCGCCACTAAAAGAATCGAGAAAAATAACTATCATTTATATTACATAATTATGTGAAGAAATGATAATTGATAGGATCATAACAATACACAAGAAGCACTTTATCTTAAAATGAAAAGAATATAAGATCAATTTTTGTCAGTTATAAAAAACCGTCAACTTACGAATTATAGACACATAAATCGGGCATCCAGATCTGCGAATTCTTTACATGAATATAATTGATCCCATCATAATCGCTCGGTGTCCAAGTAAGATGCGGGTCAGACCAAGTCTATTAATAAAATAATTGAAGCTTAATTCAAGCAAGGGGATGAGACATAATAATGCCTTCTATAAGAATTCACTTACAAGTGTTATCCAACTATGGAGTGACAATATAGCGTGGTCATTTTGCTGTAAACAAAATAATTTAATTCTTTTTAAACGCGCTGGTATATTATTTTTATTAAGTATATATAGAACGGAAAAAAAAGAATAAGATGGGTATATGTAAAAATTAATAGCAACAAGAAATTTTTATTTCATTAAAACACATATTATATCCAGAAATAAATTTATATAAAAATTGATATAAATCTTAGAAAATTTAATTTATTACTTTTGTGAATTATTTTAAGAAAATAATGCAAACTTTTTTGTTTCACAATTAATTATAACCAAGTGATATAATTCGAAATTTTTATATAATTATATATGCATACTTACTAATTCCATTAGCTTTGGCATCAGCCTCAAAGTGACGACGGTAACATTGTTCTTAAAACTATATGGATGGGTCGAAGTATCATAATCACAAAAGAGCTGCTCCTTAAGACGCAATAGGGGTAGTTTCGTATTGTATACATTTTTGCATTTTCGTATAAGATCAAAATTGGGATAAATAATTCCAAACAGAGCGTCTATAAAAAAAATTTTAAGAAAAATTTATACTAAAATTTAATTACATTTAATTGAATTTAATTGATAAATCAAACATATATTACGATGCTTGATTAATATTAAATTATTTTAATTTACATATTATTTTTTATTATAATATATAATTGTATTGTTATGCAGAATTATAATGTTAATATTGTTTTCAGATATATACGACATATCTGGAATTACTGAATTTAAAAAAATAGATATTACAATTCATATTTATTTCAATACAAATAATCAATTATTTTACATACTGGATTGCCAGAAAATGACGAAAAATCCAAACACCTGCAGTATTCTCATTTTGAACGGTATGTATCAATGGTTCTGATTCGACTAATTCTCATCATTATTGTACCCGAATGTCAGACAATTTGTGATATTTGACGTCATTGATTACGTATGGACGCCCCCTAGATAATCGACCGATTTGAAAACTCTATCCAACGCAGTAAATACAATCGTAATTACAAAATATTAATTAAATCAATCTTTTAAGATTTTTTACTAATCTTGAGTCATTCTTTTATAGAATTTTTTTAATTGATAACAATTGTGAAAACTTATAACAATTAATGTTTTCGACGATTAAATAAAAATGAGAGAATAAAATTAGAATAATAGAAGATTAAAATTAAATTAAATAAAATAAAGGAAAAATAGAATTAACGCGATATAAATACACATTGAAACAAAATAATCGAAAATATTTTAAATAGGATATCTCCAAAAATTTTTGCTTTTTATTTATTACTGAATAAAATATCAAGCTAGTAGGTAAAGTTACAAATTAAAAAAGTTTAACTTTTATATATGATACTCTCTATTGACAACTTTACTTACCTTTAATATCGAGACATCTTTTTTCGCGTCATTATAATTAAATAATTTAGTAAAAGACTGTGGAATTGTTACAGACGAGAAATATTTATTTCTATATCGTGTACACGCGGTAATTTCACAAAACATTAACATATCACAGAAATTAACAATGAATATACGGTGCGTTTAATTCTTATTGTTAGTGCGTCGATTTTTGTGCAAATCTCGAAATATTATTCCGGGTAAAATATAAATTAGCAGGTTGTAAAAATATGATATCTAATTTTTAACTGATAACATTTCTTAGTGATTTGTACAATATTTTAATCGGGAACATAGAAAGTTCATTTAATTAACTTTATAAGAAAAATATACATATAAACAAGAATAGCAAAGTAATAGAGGCAAGAGTAATCGCGCGCAAGGCAGATTGTTATAAATATTCAAAATGACTATACTTTAATGCGATGGACGGAAAATATATTTACATATTTCGTGCGAGACATAATCTACACATTTACAAAAATAGCGATTAGAGCAATTACATTTTTTTCCGTCCTTCCGCGTTTTAAAGAAATATTACATATAATCATGAGAGACGATTTGACACGTTAATCGTCATTTATTTTTAAAGGAAATTTAATCATTCTAAATTAGATCATTATCGTCTAGAATTATTTTACGAATAAAAAGTACATAGAACATTTGTAGGCATTATTATAACACATTAATAGAAAAGTTAAAAGACATTTTCGTACAATCGAATATAGCATTTAACGTATCAAAACGTCTTGTCAGATTTTCCGAAACGCGTCATCATGCCGATATAATATATTCTCAGCCGTAAAATAGCAGTAATCTTTATTGCGCAATCATACGTAATAAATACAACATAGATTTCACAGGTTCGTTCGGTTGTCGATATACTCGTCATCGTCGTCAGCGAACTTGATGCCGTCCTCGTTCTCCCGTATCAGATCGTAAAAGGAGTCTCGCGATTCCACCTTTATATCACTCTCGACCCCGTAATCCGGACTCTGAATCTCCTTCTTGGACAGGCTGATGTTGAGATTGTCCGTCGTCAGTTTTCGAGCTGCCGCCGGCGAATTTAATCGCGGCCCCGAGAACTCGATCATCGGAATGTTGGTGGAATCCAACAATTTATTGGCCTCTCGAGGTTGCGTGAATTGCATGAAATCTCGGTACTTGCACTGGCCGCTGGTTACATTCAGATTCGTCAAAAGGACATCCGATCTGGAATCGTCTTTGGCATCCTGAAGATCCTTCTCTCTGCCATCCACGAAGCCTTGTGTCTTCGAACTCGATTTACCGGATGACTTACTGGACGTGTTCTCGTTCTTGAAATAACGATTCCTCTTGTCCTCTTGGGAAACATCCTTCGTCTTTTGATTTACGTACGACCTCGAAGTAGCGTGATGATGAGGTATCGCATCTTCAGCATGTCTCTTCAAGGTTTGCTTTGATTTCTCCGCTTTATCTTCCGACTTTGCCACGTTATCGGCGATATTTACACAACTATCCCGCCGACTACTTCTCGATGGAGCATCCTGCTCCTGGGAAAGATCGAATTTAGTGACGTGAAGGCGATTGGGAATGACGCATTGCGTCCTGTCGGTCGCGAGCTGACCGCACAAGGATTCCTCGCTCACCCGGGTCCTGGAGTCCTCCAGGATCCGGTGAATCGGCAGCAAGCGTTCGTTCAGCCTGGCGGCTCTGCCCTCGCTGCTGATGCTATCCTCGGACAGGACGCTACCAACCGACGAATCGTTCTTCGATGACGATGACGAGGACGTCGAGTCTTGACGTTTCTGCTCGAAGCTGCTCAGTCTTGTCTCCTCGACACCAGACGCGAGCTGTTGTCGCATACGCCGATACTCGGCCGGGGTCAGGGTCGCGCCCTCGATGATCTCCTCCGGCAGTCGGAACAATGCCGGACTCGTCGTCCTGCCTTGAAAACAATCCGGTCGATCCGCAGACGGACCTTCAGAATCCTCAGACATCGACAACGGGGGAATCCATAGGAGAAAAGCTGGATCCATACCTAAGTACGAGCCCGGCGCAGCGCCGGCGTTCGCTACGTTGTAATCGTAATAGTCCAGTTCCATATCCGTCTCCGGATTAGTCAGGCTGAACTCCGAACCCGGTCCTTGGAGTAGTCGCTCACGATTTCGACGATTCTTTGTCTCCTTACCGCTGCGCAACGTAGAAACGCTTGACAGTGGACTGCTCGTCGACGAATCCTTTTGACAATTTTGCAGAATACAGAATTCTTTAATTATTGAAATATAACAATTATAAAATTGTATAAAAAATGTAACTTTACATCTTTTTCTTAATTGTATTTGTGCCGGTTTAGATAAAATACATATGTATATAATCGAATTTTTTTCTACCTTAGATTGCAAAGAATTGGACGTATAACGATGAAGTCTTGCAATATGAGGACTGTCGATGATGCTCGCTGTGCTTTGATATCTTGTTTCGTCCGACATCAGCTTCTCCGCTGTAGGGCTGTTAGATCCCAGAGTGCGTAATCTGCAATGTGTGAGTAACGTAAACTATTAATTATATCTCTGTAATTAGTTATTCCAAAATACCATAGCTGAGATACATTACTTACAATATTTTATTTTATCTATATCAAAAATTTGCATATTTACATTTATATATTATTTAGTATATAATATTATTTTATATAAGAATTATCTTTATTGCACATAAATTGTAGCTTATAAGATTTGTCAATTTAATTAAATATTTTACGATTCTTTGTCCAGCTGTGTGTTTCGTAAAAATATATGTAGAATAACATATACATACATAAAAATATGATAAATTAATTATATTTACTTGACTGGTTGGGCATATTTTACTTCTGGCTGACCAACTGCCATAATGGCTGATACTGTCGGTGGTGTTTCATTAACATGGAGTTTATTTGGTATTATGCTTCTCTCCATAGAGCTTTCTTCGTTATCTTTAAATTTCAAAGTAGTAGAGCTCAAGCTAGTTTCATCCTCGTATCTATAACACGAAAGATGTGAACATACCGTAAAACGCGCAATACATATTCAACGAATCGGTAATTTAGAAAATAAATAACGTATATAAGAAAATATTAATTATTATAATTGGCCTCAGATTAATAATAAAAAGTATTAAAAGGCATTAAAAACTTGATGAACTTTTTTTAACTTCTTTTCAAATAGTTAAGTTTCTAGGGATATTAATCACACAAACTTATTACTTACTCTGCCAAAGTTTCTGAACTATCGTAACCATCCTCCACCGCACAGGGAGCCAGCTTGCGTTTTGAAAGTCTTGGTGTACATTTTCTTGGCAATCCCACTAGAGATGCGACTTCCGAGATTAATGTCGTAGAAGACATCGATTTGGTTCGTCCCATCGTATCGCTACATCCTATCGAATAATTCGCATATGTTTAGTTATTTTAATATTTATGCGTATAACATATTTGTCATTGTAATTAATTCAATTTAATTTTAATCGTTTGTTTTTAATTTAAAAATTTTCAATATGCAATACTTTATCAACTATCTGCTTTCTTATTGCGAAAGATATTTACCGGAGTGCTCGCTCAGAGTATCCAAATCTTCCGCGATATGATATTTTCTATATTTCAGCGCAAATTGCAATGCTAGAAAAATAGATATAAAGAATATGAGTATCAAAAAGGATGCTGTCGCCAAATGCGCAGGTCCCCAAAAGATCCATCGTTCAACAGCAGGAGTAGAACTCGTTTCCGAAGAGATCGACGTCTTATTCTTTTCATATAATTTTTCTGAAAATAATTTGTATAAATTCATCATAAGCGTATAGAATAATTACAATTACAATTTCATGATAATATAAATTAAATGATTTAACAAATAATGAATGATTCTATTAATTGATTCGATATAATTTGTTCTAGAAACAAGATTATATACTATTATAAAAGTTGGTTTTATTTTATGTGATTTATGTTAAGTAACGCTTACGAAACATGCTCGCGTGTCCCAGAAAACCACCCACGCAGGAGTCCCCCGAAGCGACCGACTCGTCGCTGAAGAACTCCAACAGCAAGTTTTGACCTGAGGAAAATATCGTCCCCGTTGAGGGCGCGCTCTTGTCAAACGCGATATCCGTCAAGAGTTCCGCGCTTCGCGAATCACCATCGCGGGCGCGAAAATATTGCCCTGGACAGGGAAACTGCGTTTGGTCCAAGTGCAGTCGAATCACATAATCCGATTTTGCCTACGCAAATTGAAATCGACCGATAACTATCTTGTCTCAAAAATAAAAAAAAGAGATTATCTTATATGTATATTTGTTTCATCTTTTGCGAGAGTAAGTATATAAAAAATTATTCTGTCAAGTTCCAAATATATATAAAAATAATACATTAATAATACAGTCATAATTATGTGCTCGAAAAAAAAAAATTTACCTGCAGCAGCCAGAAGGATCGACCTGGACAGGCTTGTGTATTCGCCGCAAGGATCTTGCTCAAGATTTGATCGTGGAAATTTATAATGCAACCGCATCGACACTGAAGGCCGATCTGAGCTGTGACTTCCGGTCTCATGGCCGCTAATGTCGTTCCGTGTCGGCACTCCCATCCCTCAGTGTTCCACGCCTCTCGAAAATCGATCCTGCCGGTGCCGCCGCACGATTCTGTCTCGACCGCTTTTCCCTGTTTCCAGAACGAGCGTGTTATTAACTTGCTTGTGATTGTCGTTCGTCGATTATATCAAATCTACCTGACAAAATTTCGCCCCGTATTTCGGGGGTGGAGTATCGCAGAATCGATATCGATTACGCGTTCCACCCACACAAGAGCTGCTGCAAGGACTCCAGGCGCTCCAAGGACCCCAACCGGCCGCATCGTTTTCTGCGTTAATAATTAATATGAGAAGGAAGGAGAGCATATGTATGTACATATAGGGATAATGTCTCTAAAGACCGGATGCTTTTGTCCTCTTGACATGAAGATTGACTTTGAGATAGGGTGAATTTTTAATCTTCAATATTGCTTTTTAGAGAGAAATTTATAATTACTTTACATTAAATAATTTAATATTCTTTCTGTTATCCATAATTCAAAAATTCCTGATAAGTTTGATATTTTATATATAATCACATATAATTAAATTAATTTGTAATTTCAGATTTACTCCACCGGAAATGATCGTATTTATCCTATCGTCTTTTGTGACCCAGATCAAACGACGAACGATTGCAAGACTCGTTAAGGGAATCAAATTTACGTGTCTCGCGATCTCGACGGCAACTGCGAGGCAATAAATCTGTCGTGGGTGGAGGCTTTTAAACGGGCGCATTTGCATGTCGCTTACCTAGAAGCGGGAAGGTGGGTATGCACGCGAGCTTTACTTCCGCCATCGCGCCGGTGATCGCCTGGCTCACGTAAACGAAGCAGTACTCGATGAATTTCTCGGTGAAGATATCGCAGTCGAAGTTCAACGAGTGCTTGCCCGGCGCCGCCTTCAATTCCGCGATGTAATGCAACGCGGACGGCGGCGCCAGGGAGCTTACATCCGCCCTGAGGCGGCCATAAACGCGCACGCGATCACCCTGAAGACGACACGCCGGGTATTGGAAGAGGACCGATATGCCTGCCGATCCCTCGCACGGGTATATCGATCTTGCGTGAACGTTGAAGCTGAACTCGTCGGACCATTCAACCTGCGAGTAGAAGAGAAAAGAATTTGTAGATGTTTTTCCCAATTAATTTATTTACACGGCAACAAGCGCGATTTATTACACATTAATCGTTTGTTATGTCTTGTAGTAATTACTTTTTTAATTAGTGTCCCGCAATATATGAATTCTGTTTTAATTACTTAGAGCGAGAAGCTCAAATTACCTTGATGTAAGCGCTGGTCGTCGGCGCGGAAGGGTTAACGTCCGAAGCCTTTAATCTAAGCGCGTAATTTCCAGCCAGGCCGAAAAAATCGCACTTCAGTTCGATGACCTTTGGCGAAGTGAAGCCGTTTATCTCCTCGTAATAGAGCACCTAGAGAAATTTTAAAAAAGAAATGAACGTGAGAGAGTAGATTACAAGGATATTTATCGTTTAACCACACGATTTTTGCGTACGAATTTTTTCTCGCATACATAATTTACATACATGGTTTATCAGTTTTACATATGTAGCACTTACTTGCGTGCGACTGTTGTTTTGTGGATCGCAGGCGGCGTCGGTGGTACCACAGTATATGAGTTGCAAACTATAAGCAGCTACGGGAATGCCGTTGGCAGGCACACATGAGATTCCATTGTACTTTATCGTTGCTATTACCGGCTGACTAGGATATGTACCGAAGTGTTGGGATTCCAGGAGCAGAGAAGGGATTGGCCACTTTACATCTAAGGCACTGCTCATCTAGATTTCATTTCAATTAAATAAATTCTCCGGGCATCATTAAAGTGACGCATCTCATACAGCATGCATATATCTTATAGCCTAAAGATATCTTTGAGATATCTTCTGAACGTCTTTCGAATGCATGCTGTGTTGGATGTAATGTCCAACAATCGTCTTCGAGAAAAAAAATGTATAAGAGTAAAAATTTGATTTTGATTTTTATATATAAATTAAAAAAAAATATACTTTACTTTTTAACAAATTAAAATATATGTTAAGCTCTTTGATATCAGTGCTCACCTCAATTTCGGGCAGCCCAGCAATGGCAGTGTTGTGTCTGGCAGCCACGGTTGAGAACTTGTACTGAAGTCGTAGTGTATAAATTCCGCCGCGCGAGAAGACACCACAAGGTATTATCACAGAAATATTCTCACCCTTATGCGGCAAGGTATCGAGAGAAAAATCACCGATCAATTCCGACGTGAGGCCATCGACATATAGTACTCTGGAAACAAAACGCAAGAAAACAATTTGGGTAAATGCAATCTTTAATATTATCGTTTTAATTGTAATTAAATATTGTGATATTTGTGAGATTTTATAGACACAAAAACTGTTTAATTATTTATTTATATCTTGAAAAGAAAACACGTTAGAAAATAGCTGTAAAAATTATTTCGCGACTCCAGACGTGTAATTGCAAATGTGACAACTTTATTTTATCGTCGTCACTTTTTTTATTTTAATGCTTGTTATCGCACTTATTTAAATGTGTATGTAATTGATGGAATATTTCAGGACCCTGTACATGTTCGTGCGACTTATTCTTTTATGACTTTTTTTACATACCTAAGCACGAGCGGCTCGTGACTTTCATTAACTTCGTTCTTCTCCAGATCGATTTTACCTTCCTCATCTTTCTTCGTGCCATTTGTGCTGGTGGCCACGGTATTGACGGATGTCGTAGAAGATTCCACTTCCGCCGAATCTAGGATAAAGACTGTCACATCGCCGGACAAGGCTGTGTGGGACGAAGGAGCGACAACTTTTAACAATATCGGCTCCCTCGCGTCTACTATCGATCTTGTGATACCTGAAACCAGTAAACAATGAGTCTAAAGACGTGAGTACTTTTTTTATTAATAGAACTGTTATTAGTCAATAATTAATACATTAATTTAATTTAAAAATGTAGGCGCAGTACGCTGTCTAAAATTTAGCTTAATAAAAACACATTAGTAAATTGTGTTTTTATTAATATTGACATTTTAACTATAATAAATAATTCTCATATGTTATTTTTTAAAAATTGTTTTGTCTAATAGTCTTAATTAGATCTTCAGACATTATATTTTATATATATATGTAATCTGTCAAAATGTAAATTTAATGATTATTACCGCATTTTAAAAGAAGAATGATTAATAATCCCAGTGATGTCCGTTCGGATGTCCAATTCATGTCCGGCTCTTCATTGATGATTGCCAGGGTTTAACCGAGATATTTCGGTGCCCCTGACAAGATAATAATTTTGCGTCCCTATCCTGCTAAGGATAATGAAAGAATGACGTTGAGAATTTCGCCAAAGCTATTCAGAATAGGTATATAGATCATTATTACAGTTCAATTGAAGAAATATAATTTTGTTACAAAATTAATCTTAAGTAAAGTAGAACACGTTGGATTATGCAAAGAAAATAAGCCAACGCAACCCAGATTACATTACGCCAGAATAATAGATGTTTCTATAAAACCTGAAATATTTTTAACTCTAACGATAATCTACTATATCGTGCACACATGCGATTGAAGCATTACGTGTTCTAAAAACAATGCCACATTTTGGCTATAATTTATACTTAAAATTAAAAAATAACATTTTATAATTAAATGATATTTTCAATTTTATTTTTAATATGCTTTGTTATTTCTATCCACTATACATTGTTATATAAATAAAATAAATAGAAAAAAGATTTTTTGATTAAAAAAGATATTTATAAATTTTCTTAGATACTAGGGATAAAAATTGAATAATTAATTAAGTTAAAAAGTTAAAGAAAGTTATAATTTTATAAATATTTAACTCTAATCGCGGTAAACATCTTATTTTTACAAGCAATTAATATGTTAATGTAAGATGTGTACACCGTTAATTTAGCAATGTCTTTCAGATGCAAATAAGTTAGTGCTGGTAGCAGGATAATTTCGCTTTGGGCGAACGATCAAAGTCGACCTACGTGCGTGCGTTTTGCACCCCCACGCTTTGCTTCTGAAAATCTGCAGCCCTGTATAATTGCACGTGTTGCACCCTTACAGCAACCCCGTAGTCGCTTCTCGGAGGGAAATCGAAATCGGGCATCGTCCTTTCGCGTTCGTATCGATCGGCTACGTCCCTATTATACTGTGCACGGTTTCAGAAAACGCACGTACGCATACATCGCGTGTTGGCTGGATTAAAGGATACGATTTTTCATATCTAAAATAAATGTTCACGAAACTGATCAATGATACAAATAATATTTACAATTAAATTTGACGAATAATATATCTAACATAGAATTTTGCATTTTTGTTACACAACTCTTTAATGTATAAAATGAGATAACTATAAAAAAATGTAGATGATAATTTTTCTTGTAGCTTTTAATATTTTATATAAATACTTGTTTATAGAAACCTATATTTATTCTGTTCTTATTTAAAAAATATTTATTTTATTCGGTACAAACACAAACACACACATACAATTATTTAAAATTTTTTATTTATTTTAAACTATATGTTGATATTTGTTTAAAAAATTGTTCGATGTCTGTATCCAAAAAATATTTGCGCATATCTGTGAAAGATCTGACTGGTCTCTGCGGGGTGTCTCGAACCCCTTGAGGATTCTTTTCACCGTGACATAAAAATGGATGGAATGGCGGACCCTTCCATAAATGTGCTCGTTAAAATCTCTGGGATTTCTGCCTGCATTTCTCTTAATTTATGAAAAACCGCGATCGGTGAGTAAATCTTTTACCACTTAAAATATGATAATTGAAGAAGTAGAAAAAAAGCGTTTACACATATATAAGAGATATACTAAAAAAATTAATATCATAAAATTTTTTACAAAATAATATTGTAAAGCTTTATTAATTTTGTATTATTTGCAAAATTAAATGCATTATTTACATTTAATTATTCGCAAATTATTTATTTCATTATTTACTTAATTAAAGAAGGTATATATTTTGTATAAAATAAAAGTTCTTTGTCTTAGAGTATTTTGTTTAATGTTAATATTAAGAATTTACAATGATTAATGTTAAGATGATAAATGATGCTTAATGTAAACAGCCCACGTACGTGTCAGAATGATGTAAAAGGGGTTATTTAGAACGATTATGCAATTGGAGTAATGAGTTCGATGCCGCTTACGAAAGGGAATACAGACCGCACGCAGACAGACATGCACTTCTTATCGTTGCAGACATGCGTAGTGGTGATTAACATTGATATATCAAGATAAACATCTCCCTCTACTGAGGGTGAAAAGTAGGGGGTAACATCGAGTACTTTAAAAATGACAGTCGCAAAACATGCACAAAATATCTACAATTTGCTCCAATAAAGTGTATCAATATTTTAATGATATTTATATGCAAATTATTTTTATTAATTATATCAAATATCTTGAGTAAGAATTAATTCTTTTTCAAACAAATTTTAAAATCAACTAACAAGAGAAAGAGTATTCGAAAATAATTGTGACAATTATTTTTGAATACTCTATTGTTATTTATATTAATATGTTTACAATTTTTATTTAAAAGATCTCATTCAATCATCTGAGTCTTAATTATTTTTAAATAAATTATATCAAACTTATCCATTCGATTAGTATCTAATCATTATCAAACATCTAACATACTTCTCAGTAACATAAAAGTGAAAGATACTTTTAAACATCTTTAACATATATATAATAAATTTTTTTAATAGAACATCTTTAAATAATTCTTTTAACACATTTATGTTTTCAGAGTGTCAACATACCTTGCTCACGTAGTGGCTTTATCCGGATACATTCCTCATCTTCCCCAGCGCAGTTGGTCGCATGGGGTCAAAGCACAGTAGATGAGCTCGATCGTCGGCTCCGACCTGATCGATCGATCTTGCCTCTCATCGATTCCGCGGGTAACCGATGCGTCGACAAACGTTTCTTGCCGTCGAAGGACGGACCGAGGGTGCGCGACTACTTCGGCGGCGGCGACCTTCTGGAATCGATATCGAGAGCTCGGCCGCCACACGCGAAATTACCGATTCGCCTATCCACGCCGTACAAGCACCCTCGCGCGCATCCCTCGCGCGTTCCGAGGGTCAACCCTCCACGGACACGAAATTATCCTCCCGCCGTGAGGGGGATACGCCGACGGTGTTTACGAGACTCCAAGAAACTGTGATAGTGTACTTTTATTTCTTCTCTTCTTTTTTTTTTAATAAATAAAAAATATAATTATAGTTTCAATTTTTCTTTTTCTAACAGTATTATATTTTGTTACAGATTTGGATTCTTGGTCTCTCCTGAGAAATCCATAGCTGCGACGTTTCGACTTAACAAGGAGAAAAATATATATTCTTTGCCATATTCTTCAATCGTTCCCTTGAGAGAATCGCTGTCAACACAATATACACTGATGATAACACCGCGAAGATTGTGTCACCCGAAATCTAAGACACCAGATCAATGTGTAATATTTATTTTCTCACAACTTTCTTCATAACCGAAGCGTTCGAGTATCATCGTCGCTCTTTCATCAAGTCAGATTGTTTAGAAAATTAAGGGAATTCAATGAGATTCTCGCTCGTCGATCCCGCGGAAACGCGAAACAGGGAGCAACTGCGCCAGGGCGACGCGCACATCGCGACTAAAGCCGGGGTCGCCGGCCACCCCTCTCTTTCCCTTTATCGCAGAGAGACGGGGTCGAATTGCCGCCACCGCCGCCCGCACCCCCTTTTATCGTTCGGGGTGCGCCTCGAGGGTGAGCATTATGACAGAAGGTTGGCTTCTATGAATGAATGGCCGATCTATGCGAGGCGCGCCACGTCGCGTGTGCTCGGAGTCGGAAAGGCGAGAGCTGAATTCTGTCAGGATGATGATCTTGCTTTCGTAGGAACGAAGGATGAAGACGTGATTGCGAAGGCGCCAGAGTCGGGGGTGGGAGGGTGACTTGGAGCAATATTGGCGCGTAGAAAGCGAAGGGATGTGATGTTGGTGACTTCGTCGGACGAGACTGATGTAATATTTACGTTTGAGAGTGGAAAGAAATTTTTTTTAAGCTGAATATGTATGAGAGATGTTTTGATAGATTTTTATTTCTTATTAATATTAAAAATATTAAAAATTTTTTAAATTCTAGATTATTAATCTTATATATGTATTTGATATATTTATATAGTGTTTTCTTTGAATTATACTATTGATAATATTAAATTAATTAAATTTCGTATTATATAATACAGATCGACATATTACACATATCTTCATTTTTATTCATCAAGTTTCAAAAAGCAATTAGAGTTCTACAAACTTGTATTGCAAAGACATTAACTTATTTTTATCCTTTTTTGTAGATAATATTTTAATTACATAAAAGATAGATAACTACATTAAATACATATGCAAAAATGAAATAAATACATAGCGAAGAAATAAGAAAAAAGAATTTATAGAACGCGTAAAAGATTTTCGCGTTCAGGATGTATTTTTTTAATTCTCCGATAAATCGTGAGATAACGAGACACAGCGATAATTATCGCGAATAATGTGTTCTCAAACAAGCGAGGGTTTGAGTACTTAACTTCCCGGGGTGCGAGCCACTTATTTTCGCGCAGCCCTTCGTGATGCAAGTCCAAAGAGAATGGAGGGTTGCTGCAGAGGCAAACGCACTCAGCCAATTAACGAGCGAAGTCCTCATTCGAAGCTTTCTTTTCTTTTTGTCTTTTACGTCGAATTTTTTTCTATTTACTATCTGTCTATTCGATAGGGAACGAAGGGTGGCATTCTTTTCGTCTCGCGCCACAACGGCAACGATAGTGTACAGCTTGAATAATCGATACTTCCAGCATTTCTCCGCCGTTGCACACGCAGACTGCTATCGGCGTCTGCGAAACCTAATTGCGCGGTGTTCCGAGAACAAAGGAATTGGTGGTTCTTTTTATGACAAACGATAACTACAACAATGGGGCGAATATCCCCTCTCGATGCAAATCTTGCTCTTTGGATTGTTTGTCTGAATCAATTGCGTGAATAAAAAAAATATTAGCTGATGAAAGAAAAACTCAAAGATTTGTTGTATATATATGTGTATATGAAAATACAAATAGTTTTCAATTAAAAATATATGATATAAATTATATGCAAATCTGAAAAAGCTAATTTTTATACAAAACTTGAACAAAGATCGTAAAATTGCGCGAAACGGAAATGCATTCTTTATATAATTGTTAATAGCAGATAAAATGTGATTGAGAACATGTATAACATTTGAAGCGGTTTTATTAAATTCAAACAGCAATGTTAACAATCGTACAACAGCGAAAATAAACAACAGATTAGATAATATAATATTGTGCAAATGTGTATCATTTATATATATATATAAATGATATACAGTGCATTAATTTTATTTAAAATTTTGCACATAATATATATTTGAGTTTTAATATTAAATTTCTTTAAGTGTATTCATATATATGCAATTGTTATATATAAATAATATCTTGAAGCAAATGTGTAATATTACAACTCGATAAAGTTGTAATATTACACATTTGCTTCAAGATATTATTTATATATAACAATTGCACATATATGAATACACCTAAAGAAATTTAATATTAAAACTCAAATATATATTGTGCAAAATTTTAAATAAAATTAATGCACTGTTCCAATTACTTACTTGTATATATTGTATATTAATCAAATAACATTTTATTAATTTATATAATAATACAGAAATATATTCTAATCTTTGTATCTTTATAATTTTTTATATATATCGCTATGTTATAGAAATAAAATATATGCTAGCAAATAATTGTGTTAATGAAATCAGATTATAATTAATATAAGCACAACCAAGGCATTGCAAATTGCAAAATATGAAACGGAAATTACGATCTATGATCCTGATTTACATTTAATTAGCAATACCTACATTAATATTTCTTGCATTAAAATTTTTCTTATTCTGCGATCAAGCTATATATATACATCAAAGCGTGAGGAAATATGGCGAATTAAATCACGATAAAAATATTATGCATTTCTGTATAAAAGACTGCGTGATTTCCATTTTATTATCACATTCAAAATTACTACTACTCTACATTTGTAGTAATTTGTAACTACTAGTTTGATAGAGTATGAATTAATATATATGGATTATTCTTTGAGATACAACTGCAGCAATTATCGACTATATGTACGAGAATGTTTTTAGAAATACAATACAACATTATTTCAATAATTTATAAATATTAAAACGTGAAATATACAATAAAACTGATCAAGGGAAAAGTTAAGAGGTTTTCATATATAAACTTTTTACTTTTTTATAATATTGTTGGAATGTAAGAAATAAATATATAAAATAAACTTTTATACAAAACTGTGCATTGCATTAAATTCTCATTATGTATCTTAAATATTAGAAAAAAATATTAAAAGACAAGTATCAATTTCGAAAAAATTACACAAATATAATTTTACTACTAAATAAACGTGTTTTTTCGATAATCAATTTTTTTAACATTTCTTAAGATTTATATATAATTGAATATTACTTCATACAAAACATTCTCTACATTCTAATTGTAAGTATGTAATAAAAATGTCATCACTTATATATATATATATACAGGGTGTTATAAAAGTAACGGAACAGCAGAATAACTCGAAAAATGAGTCCTAGAAAAAATGCTAAGTACTTTTTATAATTTTTTCCTAGCTATCTGACGTTTAGATAGCCAGGAAAAAATCATAAAAACCCAGTACTTAATATTTTTCTAGGACTCATAATTTTTGAGTTACTCTGCTGTTCCGGTACTTTTATAACACCTTATATATATATCTCACAAGCAATCAAAAATTGTAGTATTATTTATATATATGTATATATAATACTACTACAATCCTTGATTGCTTGTGCTGACATAAAAGAATGCTCTATTTCTTTACACAATTCCTTATTAAATAACGGTAACATTCATCTTCAATAGAGTTGCCAAAAATTCCACTAGATAAAAAGAATATAATATATTACAATCGCAATTTAATATTATCATACTTATTCTTTAACAATGTCACTATTTTCTTAATTTCATTATTAATTGTAAATGGATTTATATTACTGATTAACTGAGCAAATCCATGATATCTTGTGCGGATGAATTAGATACATTTGTATTGGTTTGCGTATTAGTTGGCGACGTAAATGGCTGTAATGTTCCGGGAAAGTTCGGCCTAATTTCTGATTGTGTTGTAAAATTATTCTGAAGAGTAGAGTTCATATTATTCTGAGGAGTAATAGAGTTCCACATTGACGTGGATTGTTGCGAGTTCCAATTTATAGGTACGTTCATGCCATTAGAATTCCAATTCATCGGCCTATTCGTTAAAACATTATTCGACATTGTTTGCGTCGGAGACGTTAAAAATATTTGCGTCGGAGGCGTAGTTAATAATTGCGATTGCGTTAAACTAATGTCATTATACTTGTACATAGTATTTTTAGAATAATCCGGCTGCGACATAGTCGATCTCGACATGGATAGATTTAATTCGTCTAGATTATTTTTCAGCAAAGTGGCGGTTAAATCTTTTGGTTGTGGTTTTGCAGGTTGCGACACAGTTTTAGGAGTCAATATAGATTGAGATTGCAATCTTTGATGTGCTTCTTGTTGCTGAATTAATCTAGAAAGATATTAATATATTTAATATTGCAATATATTATAATTAATAAATTATTATTTATTATAATTAATAAATGTGTAAAATATACAGAATTTTGGAAATCTTGCTGAGACGAACCTGAGCTTATCCTCCATGGTTAATCCATTTTCAATATTTACAGGTTTAGGATTAGTGTTCGTGGCTGGAACTTCGGGCGTCAAATTAAGGTCGCTCAGGCTATTGTTTTGCATGAAAGTGGGCGACGTTACTTGAGAAAGCGCCTGATCAAATTGTTGTGTCTCGCGACGTACTGCATCCAATTGTCGTAATGCATCTCGATGTTCGCTAGTTACTCGACTTATCATATCGACGACCAAAGACGAAAGTGTCTCGTACTGTGACATGCTAAGATTTTGCTCTATGCAAAGAGGCAGCAGGAACGGTAGTACTTTTGTTGCCAATATTTCTTTGCCCATGCCTAACTTACTATGAGTAAGTAGCATTCTGTAAATACCTGATAATAGAGGAAGATATTTTGTTAATAAATTGAGAATAAAATTGAACTAAATGTCTACAAAGAAATGTAATTTAAAAATTTCTATTTACGATAAAAAAAGAATTGCTTTTATATATGCATAAAATACATATATAGATATTACCTATAATAGCCATTAAAATGGCTGGTTCGCCAGAATGAGGAACTTCCTGTAGGAACGGTAATATCTGATCGAACACCAGCCAGCGATCAAAGTTTGGCAACATTTTTGCAACACATAACAAGCAATTAACGCGTACTCCGAGAGTAGTCTTCTTCCCCGGCGATAAACAAATCTTTTTCATTCGAGGCAGTATAGCGTTTTTAATAACTGGTCCCTCGATCATCGTCACTATGTTCGGTAATGCTGACAAACAGAGTTCTTGGAGCTGTTCCCATTCAGATTCCAATGCACGTAATAACAGAGGCACTATATCGCTTTTAATAACGTCCGTGGGGCACAGTTTCAATAATAAATTTATTTGCTGCATGAGAACTAAACTGATCTATAAAAAATATATTAATACACGTTATCATTATATAAAAATTATATAAATATTTCTGGTATATTATCCTTAGTGTCTTATTTTTTTTATCTACTAAATTAAATTTATATCTATTAAATTTTATTATTTCACGTTTCTTTTTGCACAATGTGAAAATATGTACTTACTTGTGGTGGATCTTCCAAAGCAAGAACAGGTTTCAAATTAGGAAGAATATGTTCTCGAAACTCCTCTACCTCAGAAACTTCCATTACCTGCAGTATACTTGGTAATACAAATGGTATCATAGGTGGATTAACCAATTCTTTATAAAGCGCAGGTAATACTCTATGAAGAGCAACTCTATGTGGTAATTGTTTCAACAGCTGTGGAAGACCTTTATAAAATTGCGATTTTTGAAGATTATCCCATTGGAATAATTTGTCCAAGTAATTTAACGTCTTAACACCAATGTCCATAAAATAATCGATCTGTAATAATAAAAATAATATCATGCATATCATAAATTATATTTAAAGTATTTCTTTTCTCAATTACTTAAAAAAATTAAAAATTTTCGATTTTTGCAAAAAAATAAATCACAAAAACTTTCTCAAAGAATATTACTTTAAGAAGTTACCTTGATGAACTGATGAGCATCTAATCTCAATTCTGGATTGTGACTCAACATGAGTTTTACGGTATCTCTCAGAGTCTCGGGAATTGGAAGCAATTTTCCCGAAATACTGGATCCTTTAAAATTTTCTAGGACACGTCGACATTTTCCCAGATCATTGTTAGATTCATAAAGCGGCTGATGTTGCGAGGAATGTATCGTATATATCAGCATGCCTAAGGCAAAAATATCGCTTGCAGGTCCATTACTGCTTGCTAATATGCATTCAGGTGCCTGATAATTTAACTGAGATTGCACAACAGCTGGGAGTGTCGGATCATATTCAGAATATAACCATGATGGCTGTAATAAAAAAGTGCAATTCATGTAAACACAAAATGATTAAATTCAATTACTTATAAATAATAATTGCATCCTGTGCAATTTTAGTTTATAGAATATAAAAATTTAATAATCATCTATGTTTTTCTTATTGAGCATAATTAGCTTTTAGTTATATTAAGGTACACTGATATAAATAGGAGTTATCGTATTGATGATTTTTATACCTGTTTGCTATCTGGATTTTGATTTAAGGCACAGAAATCGAAACCAAATATCTTCCAAGCTCCATGGTTATTAATAACAATTGATTCTGGACACAGATTCTTATGCAACAGTTTTACATCCCCATGTAAAAATGCCAGACCTTCTCCCAATTGCAACAATCCATAGCGTATTTCTATATCATGCAACTTGTAGTCTCTCAAATTTGCAGGTGTTGGTTGAGGTATATTCTCATAATTACCTAAAATATATTTTATATATTAATATTATATCTATTAAACAAAGTATATCAATTTTCAGTGCAATATAATTTAATTAATTTAATAATAACACAAAAAAAGATTTGTCCACCTAATACATTAGCCAGACTAGCAAACACTGGTTCAGTTGCAAATGCGAGACTATCTCTAGACTCTTCCAGAGGATGTTGTACGGTCAAAACTTGCGGATGCCTAAGTTTCGTCAACTGCGTTACACCTCGTTTCAGGGTCTCCAATATAAGTTCTCGATCCGCTTTGGCGGGCCATTTCTCCAGCATCCGTTTCTCAAAGACGAAAATCGCGGCTTCCTGCTTGGTGGACTTTTTGTAGCCACTGTAAATCTTCCATAATAATCCTGGTCCAGCGCTTGCCACATGAGCTGTTGCTTCAAATTCCCTGGTGACAGGATTGCCAGGTAAAACGCTGGACAACTGTGACAAGCCATATGCCGTATTTTGGACGGTGTTGCTGATAGTATTGCTGACTGTGTTTCGAAGTTTGTTGAGAACATCCATCCTGTCACTTGTCACAACTTGTTACTTATCTCCATGAAAAAACATGCAATAAGTATCAGTATGATGAGCTTCTTGGGCTTAAATCAAGTTAATTATCTGTGTGCTTTTCAGATTTTTGCAAATAAATATCGTTTTATTTTAACAAATTTTTAACTGCTGTCACCATGAATGAATCATCACACGAAGCATGAAATTCGAGGAATTTATTTTACCTGCCAACAACATAACAGATAGAAAATATTAAACTTCAATGCTGTCAAGCGCACATTTGTAAGATAAATGCAAGATTTGTACAATGGAAATTTAATATAAATTATCTATTTGTTTCAGAATATTTTCTGCCTGAAGAAGGCATAGAAGAAGAAACGAGATAAGAAAACTTGAATGTCCGAAAAATTCGACGTTGCAGAAAATCATCTCTAAAGGCGCTTTACATCGTCAGCCCTCCAATGCAGATTCTCCCTGCATCTGATCCAATAGAAAACGTTCGTGCCTAGTTCCCAAAATATTTCTAGAAAAATTACCGGAAAACGAGCTCTTCTATTGGTTACCGAACATTCGTTTGACAGCTGTCAAACGAAGAAGAGTTGCCATTCTTGGAGAACAGTTGCCCGTTCTCGGCGACTGATGACGAGTTAACCTCGGTTTCGGTGCTGACTGACATCTACAATTCACGGAGAATTATGTATTTTGAATCGCACCCCGTGCAAGTTGCTTTTATTTGGAACAGTGTAAATTTACATGGCACTTGGTAGGAAGGAAAATTCGGACTGTTACGCCGTGACGTCGCGGTTTCCTCGGTAACGTGACGGCGATATACCACGGGAGTTTGACAGCTGACTTCGTCAGTCCAGCGTCTTCGGGTATCCTCGAGCACTTTCAGTGCGTCCATGAATTATTGCTATGACCTTTACGCGATCCTAAATAAATTAAGCAATTATAACATCTATCTTTCCTTCGTCTGTCAATATAGTTTGCATCAAAAATCTCGCGCCGAGGATTGTCGAGGAAAATGTCTGACGCAGCGAATTTGAGATACAGTTGTATGGACGAGCTCGTAAAACGGACAAAGATAAATTTTACGGGAAAGGAGCCGCATAATGTATATTCGAGGCTACACACTATGCGACAAACATCCGAAACAGCGAGGAATGAGGGAGATGATGAGACTGCATACATTTTACTGAAAAGATGGTTGAATTCGGTCGAATGGATCAAAAAAACTCGGGATTATAAAGCTGGCAAATCAATCTATTCCACGAACATGACTGTTGATCAGGTAGGAAGCTGTGTATAATGTGTGTGGGTATATTTATGTGTTGCAGAGTTGTATACTATATATGCCATATAGACAGCAAAAGATTATATGAATGTTTATATTCTAGATAAATGAAGTCAAAAACATACTTGCAGACTTGAGACAAAAATTAGAAATACGTTATGAACATAGTTCTAAGAAGCATAATGATACAGTGGAACAGATGGAAATAGAAACAGATAGAGTAGAAGTAATTTATGCAAACAATGACATTGGCTTGGAATTACCAGAAACACCGACTGACGATCCTGTACCTGGTGATAGCGATGAATTCATATTATGCAATCAATTGTATAATTTGATACAAAAGAAAAATAGATATTTGATTATTGATATTAGACAAAAGATCAATTATGATAAATCTAGAATACTATCTGATAATTGCATTAACATTCCACAATCTGAAATTAAACCAGGGTAAATAAATCTTTCTTCTATATATTTTAGAATTTTGTTTTCTTTGATATTTAATATCTAATACTTCTTGCGATGAATTTGTTTTCAGAATGTTGGCTCACCATTTTTTGAAATACTTACAAGATAAGCATTCGTATGATTTATATAATCATCGATCAGCAAGTCATGTGGATATTGTAATCTTGCTAGATTGGAATACTACGCAAGAGTCTTTGACATCCACTACTCATCTAAATGTATTTAAGGATATTTTAAAAAATTGGGATCCTGGTACAAGGTATAAGAAAATAAAAATTCTAAATGGAGGGTACCAAGAATGGTTGCAAACATACCCAGCATTTACAACAATCCCAATATAGATAATCAAATAATTGAATCTAAAAACATCGAGAATGAGATTTTAGAGACTATCGAATATCCGGAATGGGTGAACGAAAACGAAGTTGAAATCACGAAGAGCAAATTAAATAATACAAAAGCTTCCAACATTGACATCGATGAAGAAATGGAAAAAGGTGACAATAAGTCGGCACTATCCAAGCATGCCAGGTCGAGCACTAACAATGTCACTCCTTCGACAAAGTCCAAGAGTTTCACTAGTCAAGTAACGATAACAATCGATGACAAACGGCCATCTCGGGGTGATAATGCGAACGCGCAACGATTACAGAGTCCAGATATAATAGTTCCTCAGCACAAGATATTATCGAACACACACGTCGCAGAATGAAATAAATGCAAAGCCGGTAATTGATCGCAGTAGCAAACAGCCGCTTTGAAGACGTACGATCCAAGATGTAAAGAAGTATTGAAATTCTTGAAAGAATTAAATGAATTGGCCAAATCAAAGTTGAAGCTGGCTAACGAGCTATTAAGTCAGGAATGGGAGCTCTATTCGCAGCGTGATGACAAACACAGCGCAAGTGATGAAAAATATTTACGCAACGAGATAAAATCTCTAAAAGTTAAAGTGGAGGACATGGTACTTATTTATGTAATAGTTCAATATTTTCAGTTTTTTTTGCACAGTATATAAGAGCCATAAATGTTGAGTAAACTGTAATTTTTAAAAATATATCACATTTTTATTAATATTTATATTGCAGCACAAATTGTATCTCAAGATCGAAAATGAGTATAATGATTATACAAAGGAAGCAGATACAATTAAATTTAATTCTACTGACGACAACGAAAAGAAGAATTTTGAACTCAATCTCTCTCTTTCAAAAAACAAAATGAAAGAAATTGAGAGCAAACAAAAAAAACTACATGAGTAAGTGTATATTAAATTAACATTATCTTTAATAAGTAATATATATGGTATCTTTAATAAGTAATATATATTTCTTCTTTCTTTAATTTATTAACATAGATTTTTTTACAAATAGCAAGTTTGTTTTTGATTTTATTAAATTTGTGTTGTATTGCATGATTGTAGAGAATTTTTGGAAAGGGAGCACAGAGAGATAACAATGAGGCAAAATGATAATGAAATTTACAAGGAGCCTTTAAAAACGGATGGTTCGTCCATTAACACCGGCTTGGAGCGATCTTATTCAAGTCCAAATTTACTGCAGGTACGAAAAATTTTGCGATACAATCTTAAAAGTTCAGTTTGTTTCTCTTTTGTTTATTTATTTAAAATAGCAATCGCATAACTACACACGAACATTTCTGCGTTAAATTCCATTAGTTGGGAGATCGTAAAGCACCTCAGGTAGATAGAACTTCTAAGCCACATATATCGCCTCGCAAACTGAATGGATCTATTGGGAATGAAAACGTCAAAGTGTCTCCTCTTAGTTGGGGAAATCGGGAGGAACGAATGACTCCTATTCATGGCAGTGTTGTAAGTACTTATCCGGACAAGAATATACGGTGCTTTCCGGCAAAATTGCTCTAATACGGTCTTACAGACACTATTGCAGCTTTTGCTTTCATTGATTGCAAACATTGGGAATAAATATTTGACTTTCAAGAATTAAAACTGATCATGGTGATGGGTTTTCACTTTTGCATTTCATATGGTGCTTGGCATAATATTGCGTGTATGATACTGAATGAAATTTATTGGCATAATAGTAGTACACGATCCAAGAATACAATTTTCCATTAATCAGTAACAGTAATATCTTTTTAAGTTTTTGTGCATAATTATATTATAATTATACAGAATTTTTTATGTAAAAAAAATTTTACATTTACCGTTAATTTGGAAATGTAAGATTTAGTTTTAATTTTTTCTTAATTTTAAATCTTCTGTAAATAATGATAATTAATGTCGTTATAAAAATGTAGTCCGAAGATTTCAAAATTCTTTTAATCACTACTCCATCAATTTAATTAAACAATTGAAAATTAAATTGATAATATAGTTTAAAATATATAATTTTTGGAAATATATACACTGCAAAAAGCTGCTTTCATCAAAAATATAAAATATCAGATTTATAATAGTTTAATGAAATAATATTCTATTTCAAGTGTTATTTTATGTAAAAACAACTGTAAGGTAGTAAAATAGTGCGAGAGAAAAATGATAAATAATAGTCAAAATCATAAGATGAATAATAGTAAGAGTAGAGGAAAAGAGAAGAAGAGAAGGATCGATAGTATTTAATATACACACAGATACATACACATATTGGTATTAAAATTACAATATAGAATTACATATAGAGAGAATTTTTCGTTAGATTTCACCGTAAAATTCACTACTTTTATCATGTTTGGTAATAAGTCAAGAATGGTGCATGTTAAAATTATGATGAGCAATTAAACCAGATTTATATTTTATATAAATTTTAGAATACAGAATAATTAAATATTTTATATAAATTTATCATTTTTTGGCATCTATTCTACTTAAAACACTTATATAGAATCATAAGTTTTTAACATAGATTTTAATATATTTTAAAATTATTGCAATTTTACTATATATTTTAGTAACATTAATCAATAATTTATTGTAGTAGATATTAATATTTTTTATTGTGATAAATATTAATCGGAGAAATTCTCGTAAAATTCTTCCAATACTATATTGTCCCAGACTGCCATAATTTTCGAAAATTCTCTTGTGTATATATACATTTCGCGATAAAACGAAATCGAAACTTTCCGATTCGTGGAACACGTGGTTCACAATCACGTGCCTCATAACACGATGAATGGACACGTGTATGCGCACATATTTCAACACTGCTGAGGTTTCCCAATCTAATCTGTAGACGAACTTTCGATGATTAGTGCTGTATGCACGTGCTAGTATCTGAGTAACATTAGCCAGATTCGGGATCGTCTGTCAAAGGCGTTGTCTTTCGTGATACTTTTTATGTTATAGAATCATTTTTTATAATTATTGTAATTATTAAAATAAAATTTGAGTATAATAAAAATAAATTATCCGAAAAAATTATTGAATATATGAATATATATGAAAATATCTTATAAATGCACTGGCTAATTTAATTGTTCGTTAACTCTTAATTTAACGATATAATGTTTAAATATAATTTAATGCATGATAATACAGTCAAGCATATGTATGGGTATAGTGCTTATTATCTCGTGATCAAGTAATCTTTCGTTGGAATGTGATAGGAAATGTTAGACAATGGTGAATCTTCAAAGGAAATTTACTCCACTGCAATTGCTTTATTATTTTAAGAAGGTAATCCATAAATGGAAATGCAAAATGTATTTTTGTACTTTGTGCTTTTACATTAATATTAAAATAATTCATCTGACAGAGAGATATGTGATTAAAAAAATAATCATACATATATAATGTGACATTTAAGGTGTACATCTGTGCTTTTTTTTTAAATTATTGTATCTGTGAATGAATTAGTAGAATAGTTATTTGATTATACAATTATTTATATCGTAAAACTAATTAATTTAATGAATTTTGAACTTATAAGAATCTTATACTTACACAAGTATTAAATGTCATTTATTAAAAAATAATTAAGTAGTATTATTTATATTAAAAAGTAATAAATGGCAAATCATCTATTTATAAATATGTCAAAATAATTGCATTATGAGGTGTGATGGACCATCCATCATGTTGATGTAAATAAATCAATAACTACTCGCTTTATTACATTACGCTCGAAAGTAGATCGTGCAGTTCTACAACTGCGAATTTCTGTCTTTGAGAAGGATTAGTCATTTGCGGGTATTTATTCTTTTATTGTATTTGAAAATTTTGTAAAAATTTTAAAAATATTTTCGAATAATCCTAAATGTTGTAAAAAGATGATCAAAGTTTATTTCAAAGTTTTAGTTTAAGCATGTGTCTGGAATAGACATTTAAATTTAAAATAAATGTATAAAAACGAACAAGATCAAATTAAAATGTATCTTCCAATGGAAAATTTTCCATTTTCTTAATACATTATCTCTTTTTATAATACGGAAGGTGTATGGTGTGCGTGTGTGTATTTATGATACAGTGATATGATTGATAATGTGTTTTATCAGCATAAAAAGTGACTGTCTTCTATTTACAGCATCCGGGTATAACCGGTCTGAAGAACTTGGGCAATTCTTGTTACATGAACAGTATCATTCAATGTCTGAGTAACACGACGAATTTGGCGAAATACTTCACCGATAACTCGTATGCCGACGATCTTAATACAAGTAATGATAATATGACACAAGGCCAAGTCGTGGAGGAAGTGGCCCAAGTTATTAAAGCACTATGGAGAGGCCAATACAAAAGTATATCCCCTCATGATTTAAAGGTACTTATTTTAAAAATTGAATTCTAATTTTGTCTTACTTTTAAACATTAAATAATCATCAATTCTATCCTTCATTTTTTATTTATGCATTCGAATCAAATTTTTGTCTTCTACGTTGACTTTTGTATATGCCAATGTAATTTTTTTCAATTATATCATTACTAGGTCGCAGTCGGGCAATACAAATTGCAGTATGAAAGTTACGAACAACAAGATTCTCATGAGTTTCTCATGTTCCTTTTAGACTGGATGCATAATGATCTTAAAAAGGTAAGCAGTTTGCGATTTAAAATGATTTAATGGAAAGTAATTACACAGAAAGCTATCAGAATCTGTTTTTCGTTCATAGGATGCGAAAATGCCGATCGAAATGACCAACGCGGAGAAAGAATGGGATAAGGCGATGAATTCTCAAAGATCCATAATATCGGATTTATTTTTTGGACAATTAAGATCGACTATCACATGTTCATTTTGCAAGGAAGCAAGTACTACCTACGAGACATTTACTACTTTAACCATGTTTCTATCTCAGTCTAATCGGTGTACATTAAATGTGAGTATTATATAAAATACGATGACTTGAATGAAATATGTATATAATCTTTTTGCTTCGTATTTATATAAATAATTCGATCCATTAAATTATTTATCAGAACGAAAGGATATATTGCGTTTTGTATTGAGAATTATATATTTTGTATATAAAAACGTTTCATTCTTCTTTAGGATTGCATGGAGAAGTTTGTAACGGGGCAAAAGGTGAGCGGATGGAAATGTCCCAAGTGCCAGACACTTCGTGACGTGACAAAGAAGTTTGATTTGGTCAAACTCGCGCCCATCGTTGTAATTCACTTGAACCGTTTCGCCGAGAGAGGTGGATGGTTGGAAAAGGGCAACACCGCCGTTGATTTTCCCCTCACGGGATTCAACTTAAAGCCTTATCTTGTTACAGAGAATATGAAGGCGAATAATATTCGCAATTACAATTATACTCTCTACGCGATGTCTAATCACTATGGAACGATGGATGGCGGTCATTACACAGCGTTTTGCAAAAATGCTACTCAGAATAAGTACGTATAGCAAATTTGAAAAATTCATAAAAGTTATTAAAAATAAAGCGTTAACATCATTTTTTTTATCTTTTTACAACTACTGTTATTAGAGAGATTATTTCTTATAAAGAGAGTAAATATTTTTCGATAATATTTTATATTTTTAGACATTTTGAACATTAATCCTATAATTAATTATAACGACAATTGTCAATATATAAATTTATTTATGCATTTAATGTATGTATTTGCAGGTGGTATAAGTATGATGATCAAACTGTCACGGAAGTGTCACCGAGCCAAGTAAAGTCTCAAAACACGAGTGCCTATTTATTGTTCTACACTTCGTTTCCGAACACGATTATGTAGTAGAATGAAGATGTGACCGTGGACACGATTAATATTCGGTTATGACGAAAGTCTTAATATAGTGCTGTGTAATCTTTCTCTTAATATAATCTTATAATATTGCGCTAAATTTTCAAGTCTTACTATTATGAGAAAGATAACACACAGCAATGTGGTCTTCGACACTCTGTAGATACGGTATATTTTGTATGATAAATTCTGTGCATAAACAGAAGAAAAACGTATAGGGGCTGTGATGGTATTCAAAGCTTTATTGGTGCTGGCATTCATTGAAAATATGTAAATATATGCATAGAACAGTTGCAATTCCTTTCTGTATTTCCATTGCAGTCTGTCGCCTTAGAAAAAAAGTAAAATATAATTGCGTTCGAGAATATTTTAATACGTGTGTGTATGTATGTGTGTGTACAGCTTCGTATATATAATTATATATATAAATCAGAATGTTTAATTGAAATATCATTGAAATAGATTATATTCATTAGTAAGATTATTTCATATACTATAGCCGGGTGTACTTTGTTTATTTGCTAGTTGTTCTCTTTTTACTTTTGTGTTGAAACGAAGGGGCCACATAGTTTTTTGCCTTATCGAGTGGTGTAGACAAAATTTTCGCGAGAAATTTCTTTGACTTAAAATTGATTATATATTTACTTGTATTTTATATGAATTATCTTTATGATCATCAAACAACGTTAATCGTTGATAAAACGCATATTTTGTATGCAGCTTAGACCGAGCAGCATTAGCAAACATTAACTGCCTTCTTTGCTGCGCTGCCAGTATTGTTGCAACGCAACCATTTTGTACTTGAAACGCTTTATTGAAAGTTAGAGATTAAGTTTAGAAACTTGATTACAAGTTTCTTAATGGCTTATACATAACAGAAAGGGCGAGAAAGAATTTTACTTAAAAAGTAAATAATTAAATAATATCCCGTTATGTACGAGTCATTGTAAACTCATCTATGAATGGCTTAGAGTAGTCCAAAGAAATTAAGTTTGATGATTAATCAAACGTAACATTTGGATATTTGGAACATTGATTCAATGGAATATATATTGTGAGCTTCGCGCAAAATTCTATAAATCTAGCCGTTAAATAGCGCACTCGCAAAGGCTTTATTCAGAGAATTTAGCGCAAACTCGTTAGTTCATCACGCAATTCGCGTTGCCATATAATTATACTTTATCTATGCGATGCATAATATACATTTAAGACCATAATGTTGTCGGACAATGTCAATAACATCATTACAATTATGTATAATATATATTTTTGTTTCATTTGCTCCCCATTTTGAACAACTATAATGAAATATATACAACTTATATCCATTTGCTTATACTTTGATCGTTTAAAAAATTTGTTAATGTTAATTTATATCGCATGCAAATTGAAGTTTTTAATGAATTTCTGCAAATATGTACATAAAATGAAAATTGGTGCAATTTTTTTTATATATATCTATAATATAATAAAATTAATTTCGCAAATATACATTTAATGAATAATCGACACTTTAATAAATATGACAAATAGTATTTCAAGTATCTTTGCCATATTGAACAGTTTTTTCTGGACTATTCTATTGACATATTAACAGAAAATTTATTACTTTGTTAGATTAATATTTTCTTGCATGTATAATCATATACGACTCTTATGTGCATTTGTATTATATTTATACATAAACATTGTGTCTAATTTTGAACTCTGGATTATATAATATTTCTAAACACTTACGTTTTTTGCATAAAGAAAAAGAATAGTGTTTTATTTTTTTATTTAACTATTTTAATATTTTTCTTAAGATCTGTGCATACATTTAGAACAAAAGTCGAATTTTAAAAACTTGTTAATAATACAAAGTTCTTGATAGATTATTTATTTAAATATATACCGTAAGAATTGATGATAAAATATTTCTTAAGTTTAATTGTGCAATATAATTTATTCTGTCGTTATAATTATTGTATATTTTATTTGTAAACTTTATATATAAACGTTCGCATATTACATTCGTTTATTCGTGCCAGCGCGAAGGAGCGCGAAATACAACCGGTCGTTAGAATTAACATCGGGGATGGGAGGAGGCCAAAAACACTACCCCTCATAAAACTGCCGAACTTCAACGCGTCGTTAATAATTCTCGCGCAATCTGTAGCTCAATACACGTTCGAGCCTTAATCGGAAACTTCTCGCTATTTTTCTCGGCCGCCACCCTCGTTAAGACAATTTATATTCTTTTATCCTTTAATGCGACTCTCTCGACTGCACCCTCTCACACCCTCGTCGCGCGCGCACACGTTTGTGAGCCCCTCTTCTTCCCCACAACTTTTTCCATATTCCAATTAGGGATATTTCCCATTGATTTAAGGCCCCGGTCGTCGGAAGGCGAGCGAATATTAACGGCTTAACACCGCGATAAATTTACAGTGCCGATATGCCGCGGGTATATCTCTTCCCTCTCGACGATTCTAGGAACAGGGGGTAAAAAAAAAAAAAAAATTCCCCGGAGGAGAGCGACGTCAGGATCGCGCGCGCTTTTACGCGTACGCCGAGTACTTTACGAGTCGCAAAAACTCTCGTAACATTAATCACCTTGCTTATCCGAAATCGATAGTACGGAGGCTGCAAGTATGAGCTGGTCGCGCGTGTCACCGTCTGTTTACGAGTGTTTCTTTCGGCTCGTTTTTCTTTTGTCCCCTTTCCCGCGAAAGAGGAAAAAGTTATTTCGTCCCCGGGTTACACGCGACGATATATGGAAATTATGTATATGTACATAGATCTCTAAGAGAAATTGAAAACAATGTAAGTATCTTGCGTTCTCTCTCTCTTTGTAAGGATTTTTTTTTTTTTTTACAATTAAAAAGAATTGCCAGGTCTTTGTATTTTAATTATAATGAAAAGTTCATTAATGATTTAATTAATGAAATGATATATATGTTGTCTGAAGGTTCTAATATAAATATAATATGCAATATATTTTAAATGTATTGCAATATATATTTAAATGATGCATTTTGATGTCATAATAATTAGTGTGGCTATCTGGGTATATATATTTACATTAAAGGAATGCAATAATATATATAGTTTTAAACATTTCAGAAGAAAAAAAGAATGTGTATTTGATAAGATGAATAATATTTTATAAATGCAGAATAAATATTATAAAAAGCGTGAATTATAGAATTCAAATTTGCATACAATGAAAATGCATATGCTGGAATATAAATTAAAATATTTCGAAAACCTGTTAAATTAGGCCATTCTTCTTTTATTTGTATTATAATTATAAATATTAATAATATGCATACATAGTTTATTGCATTATTCAATCATATATATGTATATACATAATTAGAAATATTTTATGAATATGGACAGTTGATACGGAATGAAAATGGTTGAGCTACTCTACTGAAAAATGACAAGTAGTTATGGTCAAAGTTTCGGCCGCCGTGACGTCATGCCGTCAGATGGCGCTGAAAGTGACTTTTGCGAGCGCGTATTGTGCATGTGTCATGTGTGTGAGAAGGATCTACGCTAAATAAATCGAAATATTCAGTGCTGTTGTCGGTGCTTCGACGTGTGCGTATTGTTGCAGTTAATTTACACCGAATTATACGCATGGTAAATATTTATTAACAATCTATTCATGATAGAAACTTATATTCCATACACGTAATAAAGCGTTCGCTTTTCTCTTGAACTTTCAAAGCTCGACATTAACCTCGCAAAGTTTTTGTATCGAAAGTCTTGAGCATTATAATTTTGAAGTTTTTGAATTAAACATGCAAGCCTTTTTGCTCTAATGAATATTGCATATTTAATAGATATACGATATATATATTATTTCACACAGGATTCATTTCTGTTACTGTATTAATATGTGTGTACTTTCTTGCATTTTTACTTTATGACGCTTTATATATATCATAATGATTTATATAATTATGAGAAGTAATCATTATATAAATAGACAAAGTATGTATTGCAAGGATTTATGTGAGCGTGTGTATATATATATGTTCAGTTTTCCTTACTTTTCTTATTAACATATATATTAATTTAACATTTTTCTCGACTATTATATTTGTCATGCTATACATAGAATGAATAATTTATTGAATTATTAAATTACGCATACATAGAAATGTTTTATGAATATGAACTGTAGCAATTTAGATCAGAAATCATCGAGCTACTCTACTAGGAAAGAACCAGTAGTTATGGTCAAAGTTTTGTTTACCGTGACGTCATGCCGTCAGATGACGTTTAAAGTGACTCTTGTAAACGCGCATTGTGCATGTGTGTGTGAACGATCTACACTAAACAAATCGAAACATTTACAATTAGTTCGTGCTGTTGTCGGTGTTTCGACGGTGTATATTGTTGCAGTTAATCACACCGAATTATACGCATTTTTGGTAAATATATATTCATGATATAAACTTACTTCATACATAATAAAACATACCTATATTTTTCTTGAACGTCGACAGCTCGACATTACCCTCATTGCGAATTTTTGTATCGAAGGTTAGGTCTTGAGCATTATAATTTTGAATTTTTTTAATTAAACACACAAGCCTCTTTGCTCTAATAAATATTACATATTTAATAGGTATACAGTATATATTATTTCACACAAGATTCGTTTCTATTACTGGATTTTAATATGTGCGTATTTTTTTGCATTTTTACTTCGAAAAAATTGATATCATTTTTGCTTATGACGTTTTATATTTTATACATATAATTATAACATTATGAGAAATACTTGTTATATTTATAAATAAACAAAGTATGTATTGTAAGGATTTATGTGTGTGTGCATGTGTGTGCATGTTTAGTTTTCTTTTTTTTCTTAATTTTCTTATATATTAATTTGACATTTAATTTGCTTGACTATTATATTTATCATGATACACATAGAATGAATAATTTATTGAATTATTAAATTATACGCATATATAAAAATAACTTATGAATATGAATTGTAGTAATTTAGAGCAGAAATCATCGAGCTACTCTACTAGGAAAGGACCAGTAGTTATGGTCAAGGTTTCGTCCGCCATAATTAGTAACGTCCGCTGCCTACAGATGGCGCACAAGTCGCTCCTCGTCGCGATCAAAATCGAAAGTTCCGTTGTGTTAGTGTGATTGTTGCTGCTCCGATGCGTGTTTCACTACGAATTACGTCGCTTAATCACGATTTACGTCGTATTTTTGGTAAATACTTAATATCGTTCATGTTAGGTCTTATTTCATACAATAGACTATTCTTTTAAATTTTGAAATCTCTGCATATGAACTTTTTGCGAGTTTTCGCAAGAGAACATCAAAGTGAAAATTCCGAACGGCTAAAGCAGCTATCTTGATTGTATAATAATAAATATTGCATTTAACAGATACGCGAATATATTATTATAATTCGAAAAAGAATAACATGCGGGATTTATTTCTAATCGTATGTACTGTATGATTAATGTATGTGTGTGTGTGTGTGTGTGTGTTCGTATCTACGTACATGCCTATATGTGTGTACTTTAATAGATATAGTAATAATTAATACATTTCATCGAGTCTCGTATATTTGTTTATTTAAATTAAAATTATATACAACAATTCACAAGAGACGATATCTACATGTTTAGTATTAATTTATTTTAATATTTATCTTTTTTACTAAATGTATTAATTACATCAAGCCAGCCGATTATTTCGGAAAAAAGAAAATTAATTTTCTGGCAAAATTAAAACATGAATATGTGATTAATTTTTTGTCTGCAAAAATTTTTTTTTAATTTTAGAAAATTACATTTTTGTTATTCAAATCGTTTACGTCTTTATAATGAGCGATTAATTATGCATTAATGCTCTTCCTCCGTATATTCACGAACAGCAATCGCCGGAGCTAAGTCGCAAATAATTTCGCCAGACATTGTATGCGGCTTCATATAGCATAAATTACATTGTGTGTATATATATGTAGATTGCAGAATAACTGCTTTAATCAGAGTGCAGAGGTACCAATTAACTTCACGTTTAAAAGTGAAAATTATATGTAAGAATAATAAAAAAAGAATTGATGTAACATATATATTTAAAAAAAATTTATTATTGCTATTATTATTATTCTAGAATTTTGTCGCAATTATGATCATATTGAAGACAAATTTCTGTTAATGCAATTAATTTGTATCATGTACTGATATAAATAATAATTTAAAATAAATACTAATATATTTTTTCATTTACAGATGTGATGAATGAGAAAAAATGCACGGATTGGACAGTTTACTTAAGAACATGAAAACATCACTGGCGAGTGATTTACATATTTCAGTGAATCATCACTGGTGAGTGATTTCATATTTTTGCCTCTTCCCAAGTTTTTTTACTTTATTTACATTATCGTACGACATTAATTCAACAAATGAATATACTGAATATATTTCTATTATCTATATTTTAGAATTTATAACTCTTAAAAAGAAAACATTTTAATCCTAAAATTTAATCCTAAAATTTATAGTAAAATAAAAACACATAAACCACTTAATTATGAACATTATATTTATTATCGTTAGCGTTAAAAAATCTATATTTATATTTCAATAATGTTTTACTCTAATTTTGTTACTTAAAATTAAACGAAATGAGCATGCATTAAGTAATTATTTTTCTCCAAAACTACAAAAATTTTGATTAAATACAAACGTACTTATCATGTTAAAATAGTGAAAATAGTTAAAATGGTTTCAATACGCAAAATTAGAAATTATACATGCAATAATTGAAAAACGGATGGGAGAGGGTAAATGAAGTGAATGCATTATGAGATATACAATATAATTCTACAATTACCATAATACGTGTTCCATTTATTAAATTGGAGATATAATACACAAGCGATAGATAACACGTATGTATAATTTATACAATATTTTATACAGATTGTCTCTACCTCTTCAAATAACAATTTACCTAGGTTTACTGTACAGCAATGTGTGTTTTCGGATACTCGATAGACGTTACAAGAGACTTAGGATGCGCTTTAAGAAACGATCGTTCGATCGCAGCGCGTAAATTAGCGTTTCTCATTGTTCTTTTTTCTGTATTTATAAACATATCTTGATCAGCCTTTTGAATTCAGAGTTCTGCCAGTTTGCTAAATCTTTCTGAATATAGCGATAACGCTTATCAAGTTTTATGGTTCGTATTCTCGTCGCACGTTTGGCTAAAGATGGCAGACTAATGTATATAACTTTGCGTTTTAGTAATTATATTTTTCACAATCATTTTTACATATTTTAGGATATGGAACTTTTTAAATTATTTTACAAAATTTGTTTGCACGTATATAAAAGTTTATATGAAGTAGAATTTTTTAATATTTAATAATCACATTATACAGACATGTAATTTTAATTACTTTAATAAAAATCGATAAAAATATTACACTTGGATAAATATATTCGCGATTAATTAAAATGTCTTTATATTTATTGATATATTATCTAGATATCTCCTTATACTTTCTTTTTAAATAAAGTTATTAAATCACATAATGAAGACTTCACAGCACGCATTAAAGTAAAGTAAAGCTTAGAATATTCTGTTAAAATAATATCTCTTTATACTAGGTAAATAAAACTTGGGATCAGGCAACCATATTTAGCACTAATCTGCGGCAAGAATACAAAAGGTTTGTCCTTTTTAGTTGCACTTTCTGTATTTTGTTTTTTTTTTCTTTTTCTCTCTCTTTAAAGCCAGAATATACACCTATCTCATTTTAAATGCAGAAAATGTAAGAAAGTGCAGCTAGAAAAACAGAGCCAGAGTTATGAGTTTAGACGCACGCCACGTGCGATTTATTTGTGTGTATATGCTATATTCTTCTATATTTTTCTCAGCGGTTTTTTTATATTTTAGTCTACAATAGACGATATCTACTTATTTCACTTATGCGCCTAAACCGAACGCCGTATTAAATACGTTAGATATCACATTCACGTTTATCGTTTATCTACATAATATACAAAGTCCATTTTTTGTAGAATTTCTCGTCATGTATTTATTCGGGGATCTGTTCGATTTCATAAATTTTTTTTTTTATTATTTCTCGAATATCTCTTTGTTGTAGATTTCTGACTTTATCAAAATCTGCAGAGAAACAAAGCTATAAAACAATAATTATAATTGCCTTTATTTCTTGCAACATTTTTGATAACATAAATAAATATCCGTACGTAAAAGAAATAAAATTATATAAAAAAATTATTGAAATCATTTTCTAACAATTTTCAATTTTTTAAGCGAGAAAATGTCTTTAATGACTTTGCATAATTTTTAAATTTTTATGGAAAAATGAATATCTCTAGAAAATATTTTTTTTAACAGAAACAATTTACAATATCTTTATATATCGATAACAAAAAAGAGAGCAAAAGTCATATCGCGTCGACTTATTTTATAATATTTTATAAGTTACACGCATAATTAATTGAAAAAAATCATCATTTATTAAATTATTACTTCTGAATTATAATTTTTCAATACTGTTGAACACACGATCAGAAAATTGCAAGAAATTAATGGAAGAAATATATTTTCCTTTATTTTCTCAAATAGATAATGTCATATTTCAAGTAGCACATATGGGTGAGAAATCGAATGTTAAGTGGCACCGATCTGTCTTGTCATGTTCGTGAATCCTTAATATTGAAACGATGCTTCTCGATATACGGACCAATGAAACGCAGCGCAGGAAATAATTTCTTTGAATCCAACACATATTTATACATAAAATGACTTATTTAACCGAGAGAACAGTCTTCCCGCGCCATTTTCCCGAATGATAGTCGACTGGTTAGAATGGCGCACGGATTGCCGGGTCCTTGGATTTATGGTTATCCATTAAAACACCTCCTTGACGGGGGCTGACGTTACGTCGCCGTGCGTTGTTTGCCATATTTGCCGTGCGTTGTTTGTCGGATGGATAACAAAGCCCCAGCGACTAATCTGCCATCGCGTAAGCAGCTCGGCAAACCCTTCCTATCGATTCCTCCGTATGCTCTCGCAGCGACTAAATATGTACACGCGATCGAGAGATTTTGGGAACGATAACACGCGTCTGCCTCCCCCGTAGGGTGTTAACGGTATATATTTGGACGTGTCGCTATTTTCCTGTCAAACACGACGTGTAATTAGAGCAACGAAATTATCACGCGGTTATACACGTATGTCGAGTTAATTTCAACGTGACTCTCAGATTTTTATCGATAACTTATAAAAATGACGTTAATTTGTTATTGTATGCTATTTCTCGTGATAATCTCGTCGGAAAAAATAATTTTAGATACATAAATGTCGGCATTTAAAATGCAATATATCTGTCTAATGAATCAATTCCGATTATGTTAAAAGACTCATTTAATACACGCTAGATTCGTATTTATCTCTCGGGGCAAGGTAATCGTGAAGTATTACCGTAGTCACGAAAGCAAGCCCAGTTTATGATAATAAATTGGTGTCGTAACTGCTCGCGATTAATTAGAGTTTCTCGGGTCGACAACCGCGCGATCGTCCTTTATTCGTACTTTAGTTTCAGACCGAGCGACTCTTCAGAATTTCGGGACCAGCGATATTTGATTGTGAAACAGCGACAAATTCATAGACTTTATCATTGATACTTAAAAACTGTCATATCAATCGCTCAAATCCATTTTAATGATATATATATGTATAGTTTCGGATTCAAATGATCACCGGATGGCAAAATAATCAATTTTTTTATTCGGCCTCCTTTTGAGAAATTTCTTTCCTCATTCATTCACGACTTTTCTTAATTAATTCGAGAGAGAATAAACAAATGTGGAATATATTTTGCTTTACACATTAATTTATATAGCGCTCAATTCCAATATAAATAATTATTCTTTGGTTAACGTTTAGTCAAAATCGAGCCGCCAGTTCTTGAGCACTCGCAAAATTCGCCGTTGACAAAATGGTCGCGCATTCGCAATATTTCGAAGCCGATCGAAGTATCCGTTCGAATCGGTCGAAATGATGACGGTATCGCCATAAAGATCTAATATTCGCTTCGAGAAGTCATGACTATCCTGGACTACAACGGCAGAATTGCGAAACGCGAAGATTAGATACATCAGGCATCCCGCAAAATTCGCGCGCTTCTCCCGGCCGCGAACTCCTCAATAATTTTACGAAAAATCAATCTTTAGGAAAGACTAGGGGGGATGATAATTGAAAACTTTTAATCGAAAAATCCAAGTATAAAATCCGATCTCGAATTTAATCGGAGAGAAGATATACACCCCTTCTCTCTTTATTTCTTGATAAATCTTTTTTAATTATCTTCCGCGCTTATAATTCAACAAGAATCGACTCCACGCGGCGTCTCAATTATTCTCTCCGCGATCTCCGCTGGTCTATTGAATTTTTTAAGATCGTCTCTCGCGTGCTTCCCGGACATGTCCCGTACATCACTTGCGATGCCGCGTTAAGCGTCCGGCTAAATCACGAAGAAGGACACGCGGACGCACACATTCACGCACGCGTATATGTCTCTCCCTCTTTTTTCTCTCTCTCTCTCTCTCTCAGTCGTTCCGCGATCATCCGCGAGCCGACACACGCGCGTTGTTCTCCGAACAAGCCGCGAGGAATCCTCCGGTACGCGCCGCCCTCTGGGCCACGCCTTATCCTTCTCCTCCTGCATCCCTCTTTTCCCTTTTTTCGCATCCCCGCGTGTCACCCCCGCCGTCCCTCGGCGGTTCTCAATGCCTGTACTGCTGTTCCAGCTCCCTTCGCAGCCTCTTCGCGGCGGTTTCGCCGCCGGAGCCGCCGCCGCCGGAGCCGCCGCCGCTACCACCATCGGTTTCCGCGTCGCTGCAGCCGTCCTCACCCTCGGCGACGACGCCCTCGACCTCCTCCTGCCGCCGTTTCGCCGTCGCCATCTCCGCCGCGTGCTTCTTCCGCCACTTTGTCCGCCGGTTCTGGAACCACACCTGAAAATCGGAACGGAGCGTCAGCGGATTTTTATATTCTTCGATGCACGGTTAAGAGATCGCGTTTGACATTTAACTCAATTATGATTTTTAATGTGGTATTGTATTAATTGAATATTCTTGTTTCTTTATTGCTTGCAAAGCGATGAGAGTGGAATGAAGCGGAGCGCAAGATTTTTCAATAAAAAATTCCATGTTTCTGAAATTATGAACGTAAGGTAACAAGATAGAATTAGTTGATTTTCTCATAATTCGAAAATAATAATAAGCGCTAAATTTGCAAATACGATTAGTTCGATTTCCGAGGAGCGAGCCGAAATAACCTTCGAAATAAAAAATCTTCACGCGGATTGAGCAGCGAATGATCGAAACTAATATCGCTCGCTCGCGGTCTCTCAATTAATACGCGAGCCTCGACTCTAGCGGGCGTCTATAACATTTGAATTAACGGGTCCCGGAGAAAATTCATCGGCGACCAGCCTCCCACGGGGACTCAAAGGGGGTAACGGCGCTAACTTAAGGTGCCCCTCCGCACCTATAAAGCTCGAGATACATAGTAGGAGTCTGTGTCCCCACAACAATGTATTTAATTAACGTAACGGGTGTCAGGGGAGCACGGGGGAGCTTCACCGTAGCGCGATTGCACCCACAAACCACCCCCGATCCATGCCAGCCCATGTGGCCCCGCTAAACTCCTCCTTCTCCTTCTCCCTCCCAGTCACCCTCCTCCCCTCGTTGCCGCCGCCACCGCCGCTTTTCCGTATCCAACCCCAATCCGCAGGCTTGTTCAATGGCCGCCAAGTCGAGAGCTTAAATTAAAGATATAAGCGTCTCGGCGAGCGAGCGCGAGCGCGAAGCGGTAAACGAATTAAAAAGTAAACGGCCAGCCGTAAAAGTTAATGGCTGTTCGGATGAAAATTAAAATACTCGAGGAATTAAGATAACGGAGAGGCAGGCGAATGGACAATCTGCAGGGATTGACTGCAGGCAAGCGTTGGACGTAAAAAAGCAGTTCGGCCCGGCAACGAAAGTCCAATTTGTATTTCATGTCTTCATCAAGGAAGGAAGAGAGAGAAAGGGAGAAAAAGGGAAGAGATAGAGGATAGAGGAAAGCGAGAGAAAAAAATTAGGCAGCGCTAAATTTAGTCGCTTGATAAACGAAAGACTTCGATTATTTTATTCAAACTAAATGGAAGCCTATAAATTCTAAAGAATCTTTCTTCGTTCGTAACGAATTCTTCTATTATTTTTTAAAGGATTTTTCTTTTTGATGTGACATATAGAGATATCATCGATAAGTATAGATTTATATATATTAATTATTATTGAAGGAAGAGAATATTTTTGAGACGCACTAATTCATATAATGTTTATAAAGTATTGTATTCTTCAAAATATATATATACAAATATTTTTTTTTTTTGATGGGGGGATAGATGTGGCTATATGCAATTGTGATAAACAAGCTCCTCCCGTCCGCGAGGATTCCCAATTTCTGAGATATCGTTCAATGGATCGGAGCGAAACTGAGGACAATCAAAATTGATGCTAAGTTTATCGAACTCTCCCTCGGGATCGCGTGCGCGCGAACCGACCTAGTTTCTCCCTATTAGTATCGACCCTGTTTACTTTACTAAACAAACTTTAAAGACGATAAAGCATTTTTATAGTTACTACATCCTTCCTAAATTCAAATGCGACATTTTGCTTTTCCAGAAACGCGCGAATGTTGTAAATAAGGAATACTATTATATCCTTTTTTTTTTTTCGAAATACATAGAAAAAAAGGAATCCTTGATTCAAGTATATTTTTATTCTTGAACGCTATTTGATTGATTTAAGCATAGAATGCTCTTTGTAATCACAAATTTTCATTTGCCTTAATAATAAAATAAGTTTGTGTGAAGTATATTTTATCCTTAAGATATATTCTTGTTTTAAAAATCGCATATGGTAAAAACAAACTTGGTCACATTTGAACTAACAATTATTATATATATTTGAAAGTACCGCTTATATCCGATACTCACTTGTCACTTGTCCTTGCAATATTTATAAGTAAATTTCAGCTTCAACCAAGAATATTTTGCACTTTGTTTTAAGGATAAATTATCCTTTATCCAAAATTATTTATATTTGGCGCTATTATAAGGATAAAATATACTTGAATCAAGGCATATTTGCATTTTTTCAAGAATACTGCTTTTTCTGTGATTAATTGCTTGGTAAAATATACATTTTATTAGAATTACGCAATATTTATAAAATGATAGAAAAAATAGTAGTAGTCAGTTTCTATTTCATTTTGTTTCCATCCCAAAATACATATTATATTTAAAAAATACAAGTTTATTGAAATTTCGACCTAACTGGCCAGTACAATTTAATTAGAAACACTACGTTTCGACCCTTAGGTACGGGTCCTTTTCAAGTGTAACTTTCAAGATGTTGATTCGACAGCAGTAAAATTACTCACTGAAAGTTACACTTGAAAAGGACCTAAGGGTCGAAACGTAGCGTTTCTAATTAAATTGTACTGGCCAGTTAGGTCGCAATTTCAATAAATTTGTATGGTTTTACTCATCACTGGCGACTTCATTAATTTTATCGTTATTTAAAAAAATGTTTTTTAAACATATCATATTATATAAATATATTTTAATTGGATAACTCAATGCTCTAACATTTCTATTATCGCATCGTTTGAAAAATTACAGTAGTGACATACATAAAGATATAAAGATTTCTGGGCGATTTAGCGTTGAAAGGATGAGAAGTCGGCGATTCGCAATCGCGATTCGACCTTTCTCGACAAAACGATGAAAAACCGATTTGGGGATGCAACCGCAAAGCCTTTCCGATCATTATTCTTTAAATCGTCACGACTGATACAGTGCGAAAATGTAAATGCAAAGGAAGTCTCGGTCGGGACTCATCCATCTTGTTTTTGAACGCATTAGTCACGCGCACATTGCGAAACGGGGAGAATCGGTGGTCGCCGATTTTCCCCTTTTTTCATCCCCCTTCCACCCCCCACCTTGTTCCCTCGTCGTCGACGCTGCGCGTCGTCCTCTCACAACTGTTCGATTTATTAAATCAGGATTATCTAAGCCCATTACATTGTGTCCCGCGTAGAGCTAGATACAAAACCGCATTTGTAACTCGCGTAAAGCTCTTATAGGGCGGCACTGATTTCCGCGGTCGTCCACCTACCCTCCACCTCATCTCCCTCCGTCTATAACAGATAATACCGATAGCATCTGATCTCGTCGTTGATATCGCCGCCGGGACAATTTATTATGCGAAAGATTACGGTGCTGTGACTCACTTCTCGCCCTCGGCGGGGTGAAATTCGCGCGGCCAAAATTCTCGTTCGAGTCGAAACTCTATGGCAAGATCATCTTAAAACTGAATGGTTTAGATAAGTGTAAATAATTAGCGTAAATAGAAAACCATGTATATCTGATTCAATTATTTAAGGAATTTTACCATATTTGTAGCCTATGTTATTTTTATATTTTAATTACGCTAATAATTTTTCTTAATATTATATTTTCTGGTAATTTGGAGAATGAGATATGTGATATTTATTCGACATTCTTTATATTTTATATTATAACAATCTCCTTAAAATTATTTTATTAGACAGTTTATATCTTATATCGAGAATTTCTCTAGTAATAAATGTATTTCGATAAGCATAATTAATCTGTCGATTAAAATATTCTTTAAATGTTTAATTTCAAAGGAACATAATTTTCATACGTTTATCAATTTGGAAATTTAGTCTTATAATGATGATAAAAAATGACAATAGAAATAATCGATAAAAACTGGCGAATAAAATGTAGCAGGAGAAAAATAGAACATTTAAAGCAGACGCTTAAAGAAAATGGATTGAAAAAGAAACAAGGAGCGTAAGATGGTGCAAAACATAGGTGTAGGTAAAAATTAGGGAAAACTCAGAGAGAAAGAGAGACTCCGAAATGAGCAAAATTGGGACATTATATGGAAAGGGAAACGAGGGAGGAACGAGAGATAAATTAGGAGGTTGCGAGAGAGAGAGAGAGATAAAGAGAGAAAGGTAGAGCTGGGAAAGAATTATGATTAGGAACGGATTTTGATGTAAATGTGTGGCAAGAAAAGAAAATTGCGAATTGCAGTTACAAAATGCCTCTTTTTCTCGATTCACATTCGCGGATATTCATTGCGAAATATCATCAACAAAAAAGACATTAAATTTGTCTTCCGTCGTTATTTATAAAACATGAATTATATATTAATTATGCAAATAAGATTCTGAACAAAAGTAACAAATTCTAATAAATTCACAAAAAAAATTATATATTAAATAAGCTGTTAAAATACTTGAGAGCTAATTATACAATTAAAAACTATTTACAAAGTTTTGTCAATGTTAAAATTATTTAGTAATATGATATAGATTTATTTATTTTTATAAATATATAATTATAATATAATTAATATTAAATTATATATCAAACAATTATTAAAGTTAGTGAATTATAATTGAGTAGATTGTGTCAGAACGAAAAACGACATTACCAATAAATGAAAATTTAATTGATTTTTCGCGGGAAGCGAATCGTGCTTAAATGGAGCACTTTCGCGTTCTCGAGGATTCTCGCTGATTGCCAAAAAGTCAATTAATCGGAAACGTTGCCAGAAATACTTCCAATCGATTGAGTTACGGTATTAAAAGAACGACGAGCGGAACGAACGAACGAATAAGAGAAATGCATCTTAGCAGTTAAAAATCAAGAGAGAGAAGAAAAGAGAAGAAAAATTACGTATATTCTCTATTTCTTCTACATTCAGAATAAATGCATATTGTTAATGGCTTGCCACGCTTATTTACTAGTTATCACAATAGTTTTGCTAATGATCTAAAAATAAATGCACTAATCTTTTTTAGGTATTTGTAACGTTTTCAATAATTTTATTATATAGTCTACATATAATTGTGCTAATTATTTTTTATTTAATAGGCAGTCTAAAAATATTTATGTTAATTACATGCAGTTTTTGTGCAATCTTGGCTTTAACTTAATTAAACGTGTGTGTAAAGCTGGCGTCTGATCTCGTAGAAACTGATTAAGAATTTTGGTTTTATTTTTAATAATTCTAGAATTGATAGTTTAAATAGTTCTGGCCAAGCAACGAAAATGCCTTGGAATAAACTGAGATTTTACGCAGCATCTTACTTTGTCCTACGGCATTTTTTTTATCAGTAATTACCAAGATTAAAAATATTTATAGTTCTACATGAATTCTAAAAAGAGTTGTTCTGCCTTCTAAAAGCAAAAAAATATTAATATTAATTAAGTTGAAATAAAAACAACAAAAGGATATTTATAGATATTGTGATGAGACGCCAGTCGATTTTCGAGAATTATTTTAAAGCTGTATTTTTTCGAACGAATTTTCTTTGAGTTTTAAATAGTTATTAATATTAAGTCAAGTATAGTATCGCGCGCGCCATTAGAATGAAGTTGCCGATGTTTGTAGAATAGCGAATAGCTTCAGCCATTATCGAAACACCGCGAGTACCAGGTAATTTGAGTTGCGTCCCGTTGAGATTAATTAGTAAGCATAATCGTTTCTAACTTTTGTACTCTAATATTCATCGATCGCATATTATAATTCCAACATTTATATGTAGTCGTAATTATTCTAAACGCATATTTTGCGAGAAATTCGATGCAAAATCTATGCCAATAATCAATATAATCCAACCTGACCTGCTCTGTTTTCTCTAATATATATGTATTTTATTTGTTACAGATAGCATTGCTGATAAGCTGCGCGCGAGCTTGCGAGATTCTCGAATGAACGTCACTTCGTGCGATTAGTCGCATCATTTTATCTCATTGTGTAATGTACGCGAAATACGCGTGGGATTCACGCGTCGTGTCGGGAGTGCCGCATAAAGTGTCGCGTGTCGGGAGTGCCGTGTAAAGTTTCGCGTATCGGGAGTGCCGTATAAAGTGTTGGGCGATCGTAATTATTCGTATTTTCGCGAATATCGCGAGTGCTATATACAAAGGACCAAGAGAGGAGGAGGAGGCCTGGAGAGGTATCGGGCGACGACGGAGCAACTGCAAGGTATGCAAAATAAATATATAATAACATTTTTTAAGAAACAAATAATTTTTGTTATATTTAAATATCTCTATATATGTGTGTATTTAATTTGTTATTACAGGTAAGTCTTACTGATTAGCTGCGGGCGAGTTTAACTGCAAGATCCTCCAGTACTAAACGGACGTCCCTTCGTGTGATTATAAATGCCGCATCGTTTTTTCTCATTGTACGCAATGTACGCGAAATGTGCATGCGATTCACGCATCGATTCACGCATCGCGTCGGGAGTGCCGTGTAAAGCGTCGCCCATCGGGAGTGCCGTATAAAGTTTCGCATATCGGGAGTGCCGTGTAAAGTGTCGCGCGATCGTAATTATTCGTATTTTCGCGAATGTCGTGAGTGCTACGAAGGACCAAAAGAGGAGGAGGAGGCCCGGGGAGGCATCGGGCAACAGCGGGGCAACTGTGAGGTATGCAAAATAAAAATTTTTTCTGAACTGCATTATAAGATATTCGATTGTTTCCAAGCTTTCAAAAGACTCGTATACACACACACACAAATAATAAAATATATTCATAATTTTAATATTTTGTTTTCAGATCAATGTACTAGCTGTGTGCTACAACTTCAATATTGCGTACGTATCGGTGAGTTAGAAATTGTTTATTTTATAATATTTCTATAGCGTTGTATAAATTATGGTATCTCATTTCGTGGATACTTATAAATAATTAAAAGTTCCAGCTTTATTTTCAATAGTTTCTAAAGTTCTTGATACTTTAAACAGCATCTCACTTTATCCTACGTCATTTTTCTTATCAGTTCAATTATCAGAACTTAAAAAAAATTATAGTTCTACATGTTTGAAAAAGAGTTCTGTCTTTTAAAAACAAAAAAATATTGATTAAATTAAAGGCAACGGATAACTATATCTATAGATATTGAGATGAGACACCAGCTTCACGTACCCTAATTAAAGCCAAGAAAACCTTAAACTCTTCATTTTATACTTTATTAATGGGCGATCGATTGTATCATCCAGAGATACGCAAGATCGACCAATGTCCCTGTCGTTTTCACGTCGATGAGGAAACGTCATTCCCGTAAACTTTTTTCTAAAATTCATATTCGCATTTGGCGCGTAAAAAAGGTGCACCGGAGCTTAAAAATTTATCGACGGCTCTTTTGAATAATAAGCGAGCCGACCAATGACGTGGAAAACTTTCGAGTAAATGTCACACATGACTCCGCACGCATCGTTAAGCATCACCAGCCCCAGACGCGTTTAACTGAATTTTATCCTTATAACTCTTTCTCACACATTTTTCGTATGTGAGTGATTTTTGTGATTGATTTTATATTTCGATAATTGTAATATATGAAATGTGATATTCTGTCTTATTAATTAGGGAAATCAATGCGTTATTATTGATTTGATATAATCATGTTGCTGTGAAAAAGAACCATAAATATATTTGCAGATAGAAATGACATTTAATAAAACGAATACGCTATAGTCTTAGTATTTGTTTGTGTTTACAAACTTATTAATCAGATTACAATCAAGACATTTTATGCTAGCAGGATACCATTTCACGTGAAATGTGCGCAATGACATTTATTAATTTTGTTTACTAAACTAACTAAATATCTCATATATAAGATAACGAGAAACAGAAGTTTTAATAACTTTTTTTGCGACGACATTGGGTCCCGCGACGGAAAAACGTGGCTTTTGCCTTTTGTCATGTTGATGCACGTGGTATGATAGTATCCGTGATGCAAACAAAACTATTGAGCCTCGACCGATGCCCTTTAACGCATTGACTGCTCGGGCTTCTTTTAGTATAAAATTTGCATTTACGCCATATGGCGTGACGCGACAGCCTATTTGTAACCCACCGACCGGGGTGGAGTAACGAGAACTCCTAAATGCCATCAAACCGAGAGTGTTAACCGCCGCAGGCTCGATATTTGTGTCACATGTTACATTAGCTTTGTCGTAAAGCAGGTCGACGATAGTAAGCACGAGTTTCTGTCGATTTGTCAAAAATGTAGAGTGACTAATTAAACGGATGATAATTATGAAATTATACATGTATATTTACGATTGACACGAAAAAAGAACTATATCTTTTTTATTATATTATCTTTGCTTATAATATTTTACGTTGCCATTTTTCATTTAATATTATAAATAAAATATAACATTATAATAGTTTATCATAATATATATTACTCTCTCTCTCTATAATCCTTTTCTCATAATATCTTTATAATTCACATTCTTTAGCATTACTAGAAATATCCTTGATTTATCTACATTATATGTTTTAATATTTAAACAACAAAAATTTACAAGTATATAATTATTATATATTATATATTCTACTACAATTCAACAAGATTACACAAGTAATGATATATATATATATTCATGCATTCTACAGGATCGGAAAGGATTCTCTCACGCACCCCCCGAGTGATTTGAGCCACACGGGTGTCGCGAATCGCGAATCGCGGCCGCGATTTCGCGTCGTCAATCGGTTCGGAGTAATCCACGGTTCGCAATATTACAGAGTGCCGGGAGCAGAATGTTTCTTCGAGTAATAAGTAATGCGATCTCTTCGCGGGTATGGCCGCGCAAGAGGAGAGGGTTGGGGGGAGGAGAAAGGGTGGGGGATGTTCGGACGACGAAGGGTAGTTGGCTTGCCGGCGATAATGCGCTCCTCTGTATTCCGTTGCCGTAGCGCTTCCCCATATCGATATGTTTCCTCTCCCTCTCGTTCCTCCCTTCCCTCCCTACCCCCCTTCCTCCCGCGACACCCCCTACAACCCCCGACCACCCATTTGGCCTCGCTCGGAGATCAAATGGCTTCACCGATTCGCGTTATCCCCAATATTCTATTTTTATTTCGGAATCAAATTTCACGGCGGCCGTCGCGATCCCGACGAATTTTTACGACTCTTTCTTTCTCTCTCTCTCTCTCTCTCTTTCTCGGCAAAGAGAACATTGATGGAAATCTTCTGCTCTCGGAAAACTCTCGTCGAGGCGATTTGATCTTGATATTCGCGACGCGGTTATGGAGTAACATTATGAGATCTAATGGCGCGTTGAAATGAAATAAGCAGGTCGTGATATTATTTATGTCTCAACAGACGCATCGAACAAACTTTTTGCACTTTTGCATTTCATTCTTGTTATGCTACATTGAAAACTCTAAAGAAATATATAAATATTATTTATAATTAGTTTGTAAAATTGACTTTTGATATCAGATTTACTCGCGTATGCTTTTTTTTCATGGATTTTCGCAAAAGAATTTTCTCGTTAGAACAGCTGCTCTTAATTCTTCAAGATATACTCTCCCGCTCGCTGTACGTCTTAATAGCGCATAGAATTGTTTCTCTCGTTTATGTTATCGTCCCCATCGAGATGCTCCTGCGTTTATTAAAATGCTCCCTATTTAATTTCCACGTGGCGTGTCTTCGCGTTTGAAATATCTTTTGGTTAAAAAAACTCTGCCGGTTCAAATGTATAAAAGAGATGATTTTTTACCAGGATCTTACTATCATTTTACCGTCATTGTTTATTGTCATTTAGTTTGCATATTGCGATAGATATATCGTTAACAAAATTTTTCTTCTATACAAAAATAAATTTGAATGAAAAAATCTTACATTTTATTTCTTTACTTGTCTCATTTGTAAAGTCATGTTTCACGAGTCGAAAAATGATAAAAAAAAGTATTCATATTTTATCATTTGAAATCGTCGCTATGATTCGCTTCGTTGAAAATCCTCTCTAAGCTATAAGTATTCAGTGGTCGTCATCATCGATCTGCGGAGATGATGTAAATGCGATTCGAAAATTTATCGTTATCGTCTGTTTGCGGTTGTAAACGCTTGCTCGATCCTTCTTATAAAATCCTCGAAAAATGCTTCTGCGCCCTACAGGGGAAAAATTGTAGCAGTTTAAAAGAATCTAATAATCCTCCTTCACCGTCATCGTGAAAAGAAATATAACGGGGGAATATTAATATATATATATGTATGATGATACATTGATCAAGTCTGGTCGGGGGACTTTTTTCGATGATTTCGAGGAGCAAAATTTCCATTCATCGAACTCGAAGAAATATTTTATTAGTAAAATATTTATTTATTAAATATTTTAATAAATAAATATTTTATTAATAAAATATAAAATTGTTTCACAAGAAACGAGAGATTCCTCTCTCTTTCTCTTCTCAATAGTTGTACTCTTGACTGACTTCGAATTAACTTTTTGCAAATACGGAATGTACAACTCTAATCCGAATTTCCGGAAACGTATATATATATATATATATATATATATATATATATATATGTGTGTGTGTGTGTGTGTGTGTGTGCGTGACACGTGTATGCAAAGGAGCGATATATGTCAACGCACGGCGTTGCTAATTTCGACAAGAAACGCATTATGTAGAATATCTTTAGACGTTTGAACACGAGCAGTCAACTGACTCGATGATGAACACGTTAATCTCCGAATATAGCGAAACGATCTTCCTCATATAGTAAATAAACACTTCATATATGTTTCTTACGTATGTTAATAATTTTGCTTTTAAAATTATAAAGAGATATACATAATGTGAATTATGCGTAATGCATTTTACGCATAAAATTGTAAAACACATTGAAATGCAGATATGAATATACGTCTACTCAATATATTTTTTAATTTATTAAAATCTAAATGAAAGTCTTTTAATGTATTAATTATTAAAGTCTTATTACTGCTTAGCTATCCCGTAATTTATTTGATATTAAAATATCGAGTTATTGAGTTAATGCTGCAATTTTATTATATCTTTTTCAATTATTTTTTTTCTTGGAATAAAAATTAGAATTAGAAATTGGTCTTAAACATTCTTATTTTTCTATCTGTTATTTCTCATATAAATTGAATTTAATTGGTTTTATATATATATATAAATATATTAAAATAAAACCCCTACATTTTTCCGGTATTTCATATTTTTATCACGAGCGACGCATTTACCACCGCATTTTATTTCGAAAAGCTACAAGTACGAAAGCATCGAGACACACAGTGTGCATTTCGAAAATAGCTTTCATCGTATGCGAGCGATATGACGCCATCGGAAAGCAATTACCGCGTGCATAATCGCAACAGCGACGCACGTCCGGTTTATCAAATCATTCGGATCATCGAGACGATTTCTCGATTTCGCGATAATCGAGCGAACGTAGTGCGAACACTTGGTGTTTCGCGAGCGAGTTATTCCACTTTCCTGGCATCGGTATCGAAATATTGGACCCCCGGCAAAAAGGCTCTTAATAATTTCCCGAGGTCGGCCCATACAATTACGCGGCCCATAAAACATAATGGCGTCTCGGGCGCCCGTGTATACACCCCGATATAATTCCGAGCCGGCGATCACGACGAGA